GCGACAGGTGCAACCGGCTCTCTGAGCTACCGGTGGCTATCAGAACCCCGGAATACAGGCGCTGCGGACGACACGACGGCAACCTCCACTCAATCTCCCCCAACAGTCCCACACCCCTCGACACACACCCCCTGCTGCGCCCCTAGCTCCACTCCCCCTTCACCCCCCTAGCACCACTCCTTCGGCTCCCCACACAACCACCCCCCTGAGCGGCAGCTGCAGCAGCGGGAGACGAAGGAGGAGGAGGAGGAGGGGACGGGGCACACAACCGGCACCCCCACAACCGCCACCCTCACACTCCCCACCCGGCGGAACGGGGGAAGGAGCGCGGGGGACGGCGAGGGGGACGGCGCGACGGGGAATCGGGAGCCGCGCGCGGCTCCAGCTGGTCGACGCGACTGTCGACGGGGCAGCGGGGGGTCGCGCGCGGCTCCCCAGGGCGGCGCGACGGGGTGGCGGGGCGACGCGACCACCGACGGGGCAGCGGGGGCAGCGCGCGGGTCCCCTAGGGCGACGCGACGGACAGGGCGGGGGCGCGCGCGGGTCCCCCACGGTAGGAAACCGCCGCACGCCTCGGGGCGCACGGCGGGCAGAAAACCGCCGCGCGCCCCGAGCGCACGGCAGGAAGAAGACGACGCACGCCCGAGGCGCGCGAGAAGCATAACAGCAGCGGAAGCAGTTAGGTGGTGGGCCCACCCACAGGATCGACCCAAGGGGGTCGACCTGCTCTGATAGCATGTCGAAACAAGCTAGGCAGAAGTTAGGAACAGAAAGAGGGTTTGAACTAGCAGGCAGTTGAGTACAAATAGCAAACCCTAGATTGGGCTGTACTCGCTATAGAGTACCCCACTGCAGGCTAGACAATATAACATTCTGACAAGCCAGTCAAGGGCAGGACCGCCAACCCCGTAGGCCAACCGGACCGTGTCAGTGAGCTGAGCAAAGCACTGACCAGGGGGGTGAAAGCGGCCACAAGGGTGGCCCCGACGAGGACCTGTCAGAACCTGATAGGTGCAGGGAGGGTAAGCAGCACCGCGCTGGGGCTGACGCAGCCCCGACCCCGGAGCCAGCTGCTGCCGCTGCTGCTGCTGAGGCTGCTGGGAGGAGAGGGGCTGCTGCTGCTGCTGAAGCTGCTGCTGACGCTGAGCCTGGTACCACGCCGCTGCTCCACCTAGCGGGGCCGGCAGTACAGGAGGCGACTGACGAGCTCGGGTGTCGCCACCACCAGCAGGCGCAGTGGAGTCACCAGCCGCTGCACGAGAGGTCTCTCCAGACGCTGCACTCCCACCACCGCCAGTCGCAACAGCACCCCCACTACCTCCGCTACCTCCGCCTCCACCTCCACCAGAACCACCTTTCTTGCCCCCCCTGCCGCGGGACCGCGACGCAGTCGTAACAGCAGCTGCAGTCGCGTCAGTAGCGGCAGTGGCGAGAGAGGCAGTGAAGGTGGGTAACTGCGGGACTGTGCACCCGTGGAAGAGTGGTGGGGGCACAGCACCAGAGGCGGCAGCTACCGAGCGAAGGTTGCTCTCGACGTCCTTGAGCGCAGACTCAAGGACCTCGACGGTGAGCTCACTAGGGTGCTTCAGCAGAAGCACGTCACGAACGGAGGCAAGGCGGTCAGGGAGGCTAGTGGCGATGAAATAGATAGTAATCGCCATGGGGGGAGGAAGCAGTGCAAGCTGTGCCTCAGTGCAAGCAGCGCGGTAACTAGCGTCGAGCGAGCGGAGGTGAGCGATCAAGTCAGCAGAGCGCTCAAACGAGGCGAGATCAGGAAACAGGAACGGGAGGAAAAGGCGGCCAAGAGAGACAGTAGCGGGAGTAGAGTAGCGGGCCTTAATCGCAGTGAGGTACGCAGCAGCGGTGCGAACCTGAGTGAAGTGGACCTCCTCTGACTCAGGGAGGAGGCTGCTGAGTGCGATGCAGGCCGCAGCGTCACGCGACGTCCAAGCCGTCCTGTCAGCGCGCTGACGGGCAAAGCGAGCCGTAGCAGCGTCGTCAGGGGCAGAGCCTAAAGCGGCAGGCTCGGGGGGCTCGGGGAGGTCACCAGTAGCGTGCGACCAGAGGGTCTCGCCCCCCTGGACCTGACTCTCTAACAGACGGCGAGCGCGAAGAAGCCAGACGGAAAAGTCAAGAGGTCTACCGTCAGCGTCGAAACGAAGAACTCGCGGAGTCGCCATAGCGAGAACTAACGCGAACGAGCAGGCGAGTAACAGCAGGAGGTAAGAGGCAAATTAGGGTTCAGGTGGGGGGGGGACTCAGTCGCAGCGGAAGAGCGGGCTAGGGCGATGGGCCAGGGCGTGAGGAAGGGCGACGGGCGCAGGGCAGGGCGACGGGCCAGGGCTCGGCGACGGGCGCGGGGCAGGGCGACGAGCCAGGGCGCGGCGACGGGCGCGGAGCAGGGCGACGGGACGGGGGAAAGGGCGGGCCCGACGCGACGAGGCAGGGCGGCGGGACGGGGCAGGGCGACGCGACGGGGCAAGGCGAGGCGACGGGGTAGGGCGACGCGACGGGGGAGGGCGACGGGACGGGGGGAAAGGGCGCGACGCGACGGGGGGAAAGGGCGCGACGCGACGGGGGGAAAGGGCGCGACTCGACTGGGGGGAAAGGGCGCGACGCGACGGGGGGAAAGGGCGCGACGCGACGGGGGGAAAGGGCGCGACGCGACGGGGGGAAAGGGCGCGACGCGACGGGGGGAAAGGGCGCGACGCGACGGGGGGAAAGGGCGCGACGCGACGGGGGGAAAGGGCGCTAGGCGACGGGGGGAAGGGCGCTAGGCTCGGCACTAGGCGCGGTAACAACGGAACCGGTACGAACGAGAGGTAGGATCAGGCTCGGGAGGTACGAACGGAGAACGGAGGAACGGGATCCCACAGGATCCTAACCTATCTGATACCATGTCAGAATGAGGAATGAATGATGCATTGATGTTGGTTGGGGTCAGGCCTCTGGTTAACAGGGTGATTCACCCTTATGACCCTTACTATAAGGCTGGGTTTGAATATGCACCCTTTTTTATCAGAGTGGTCGTTTTTTTTTACCCTTACAAGAAAAAGTGTTCGGTTATACTACACTGATATTTCAGAGCTAGGTGGTGTAGTAACACTGATGATATTGAGTTAGATCTAACGGAGTATAGCAAAATCACTCAAGTAAAATGCACTCCCCTTCAAATTTGCTCACGTCAGATCTCGGGCCCAGGTGCTTCGCAGAGAATTCCCCGCCACAACTGACTACAACATCAACAGCTGGTTTGTTAGGAAAATTAATTTATTCGTAGGCAGAGTTACTTACCGTAATCCCCCGGATATAAGACCCTAGGGTCTTATCCTAAATCCCTAGAAAAAATGGGGGGGGTCTTAACAAAGGAAAAAAATCTATACCACCCGGGTCTTATCATATGGCCCCTTTTTTTTTAGGTGTTTTTAACACTACAGTCAATACAGAAGTTGGGGGGATGCTTTTGGTGAGCACCAAGCCAGCGAAACATTCTTCGCTAGAAATCATTGACCGGTCACAACTCATTCGCCTCTCACAGTAACATCGCCCCCCCACGCAGGAGATTCGCCCCACGATGGCAGTAGATTCGCCCCTGACGCAGCAAATTCGCCACTGACTCAGCAAATTCGTCCCCCTGTCGCAGCACATTCGCACCTGACGCAGCAAATTCGCCACTGACGTAGCAAATTCGCCCCATGACGCAGCAAATTCACCCCCCAACAGGCCAAATTCGCCTAGTAACATGTTTCGGTCTAAATAGAATAATTCGAAATCTACAGAGGAACCCCCCCCTATAGGGGAAGGGGGGGGTCTTATATTGTTTACCCCTTAAAAGGGGGGTATAACGATTTCGAGGTTTAATAAAGTACCCCCCCCCCCCCCCCGTATTAGCTACCCGGGGGTCTTTTAATTTGGGGGGGTCTTCTATCCGGGGGATTACGGTATGTTTGCACCCTTACCAGAAAAAGTAGTTCTTGTGATCTACCCTTACAGAAAAAGTGAAAGCGGGGTGTTGGCCTTATGTGGAAGAGCGGTTCAAAACCTAACCAGAGCCCTGGTTGGGGTACATATAACAAACCCTAACTTCTGTACCCCCTAAGACAAACCTCACTACAGGCTACAACATTTGACAGTTTCTCACATGTTTGTTTTGCAAGTGGGTGCTGCTGTTGATGCTGTGCATGTACTGATAATTGCTGAACGTATATTAATGAGAGAAGCTATTGTGTAATTTTTTGTGGTGGTGTGGTGGTCATTGCCAACCCAAATCAACCCCCAGATTATGGTTCACTCTTGTAAGATAGCTCTTCCCTTCCCTTCCCACATGCTTTCTGAAGGGCTTGCGCGCCAAATACTCTTATGAACTCCTACCGGTAGCTGGATTGCCTTAGGTTTTACAGAAAGTGCATGCCAAGCTAACACATTTCCCAGTTTCACCATTGTCATCCCATTATTGGCTTCACGAGACAGGCGAATCTGTAACGGGTTATACCGTAATAACAAAGCAGAATTTCCTAGCTGATGTCAGAACACAAAGCCTGCACAAAGCCAACACAACCCTGCTAACCACCAAAGAAATCAAAGCCTGCACAACCAAAGCCTGCACAAAGCCTGCACAACAAAGCCTGCACAACCCTGCTAACCACCAAAGAAATCAAAGCAAAGCCTGCACTGGCCTTCACAACCCTGCTAACCACCATCGAAATCTCTCACACTCCTCCAAACTCCACCCTACATTCCAGCCTCCACCCCCCTCCAGCCAACCCTCCAACCACCGCTATCAAATACACCTCGAGGCTTGACTCTTGGGTCCAGCAGCGCCTTCGCCTGGAAGCCTGGCGAGCGGCGGCCTGGTGTCCTTTTTTTTAGTGTAAATGATAAGACAGACATATACGTCTTATATCCGGGCAATGACGGTAACGTCAGCCGCATTCAGCGTTACAGACTGCTTACTAGCAAAGCGCCGCATGCATTAAGCAAAGCCCATAGCGAGCCAGCGATCACTGTATGTTGCCAATAACTGCCTTGGTGAAGTCGGATGTGCCCGAGGAGCCACCGAGGTCGCGCGTGAGGAAGCGGCCGGCCTCGATGGTGGCCATGACGGCGGCGTCGATGCGGTCGGCGTGTGCGCCCAGCCCCATGTGGCGCAGCATCATCACCGCACTCAGCAGCAGCGCCGTTGGGTTCGCCAGGTTCTGCCATGTGCCGGGCGAGAGGGGAGGGGCGAGTGAGGATTGTTGGGAGGGCGAGGGGAGGGGAAGGGTTGAAAGGGAATTGTTTGGGGAGTGGAGGGAAGGGAGGGGGTGGGAGAGGGGAAGAAAAAGGCTGGATAAGCGAGGGAGGAAGGGACGTTGGGGACGGAAGAGAGAGAAGGTGTGCCACACACTTCCATTCTAAAGCTAGAACCAACTTACCACCCATCTCCATTCTAAAGCTAGAACCAACTTACCACCCATCTCCATTCTAAAGCTAGAACCAACTTACCACCCATCTCCCACTCACCCCGACGCCACATGCCACCATCTCCCCTATTGCCAGCGATGTCAGGCGCGGTGCCATGCACTCACCTTGCCAGCGATGTCAGGCGCGGTGCCATGCACTCACCTTGCCAGCGATGTCAGGCGCGGTGCCGTGCACGGCCTCCATGAGAGCGAGACCGTCGCGGCCGATGTTGCCCGAGGGCGTCAGGCCCAGCCCGCCGATGAGCCCCGCCGCCAGGTCGCTCACGATGTCGCCGTACAGGTTGGGCATCACCAGCACGTCAAAGTCCCGTGGCTCCCGCACCAGCTGGGAATGGGGGGAACGAGAGGAGGAATGGGAGGAAAGGAGGCGGAGGAGGTGTAGAGGAAGACAGGTTGGCCATCACCATTGGGCCAAAGTCTCTCGGCTCCCTCGCCTCCCGTACCAGCTGCTCCCATTGGGGGCAAGAGAGGGGGATGAGGAGGGGGAAGGTTGGAAACTGAGGATGTGCTGCTGCAGGTGGGGGGAGAGGAGAGGGTGGTGGTGGTGGTGAGAGGAGGGTGAGGGATTTGATGGATGTGGAGTGGCATACACTGTGGTCCTGTGGAGCCCTGTGTGCCGTGCATCACACTGTGTGCCGTGCATCACATTGTGTCAATCCGAAAACCCTTGTGGCAGCGCAGATGCGGGCAGCATGAGGCATGCAGGAAGCACAGCAACCCCACCACCATGCACGGTACAACCATCATCGCACCATCACTCGACCATCATAAATACCAGCAGCACCCCAGCATCATGGCAGCAGCACCATCCAACAAAGCATGCACCCTCAGCGCACATCCTGGGTGAGCGCACTGACCATCATGCAGGCGTTGTCGATAATGAGCTCCTCGTACTGCACGTCCGGGTACTGCTCTGCCACCTCCCTGCAACACTGATGAGGAGAGGAGAGTGGGAGATGGGGGTGCCGTGCAGGGGCATCAGTGCATGATAAGAGAGTGAGTGATGAAGTGAGAGACTGGAAGATGAAGAAAGTGTGTGAAGAGCGAGGGAGTGTGCGTGATAGAGAGGAGTGTGTGTGATAGAGAGGAGTGTGTGTGATAGAGAGGAGTGTGTGATAGAGAGGAGTGTGTGTGATAGGGAGGAGTATCTGTGTTAGAGAAGATGGAAACGAGTAGACTGGAGCCACAATAAGCCAGAGACGCAGGCCAGGATGATGGATGGAGAGGGAAGACGGGGAGAGGGGATCAAGCCAGCAGGTCATGTCATTGGGGAAGAGCAAGACCAAGGGGGGAGCAGGTGCAGGGGGAGGGACTGGCAGGTGCAAGGGGGGTGTGGGTGGGGGGGGGGGGGAAGGGAGGGAGAGGGAGGGGAGGTTGGTAGCGGGTAGGAGGAGGAAGCAAGGCGCACGTGTGAAGAGCGGGTCCATTGGGCGCCCATGTGACTTCGTCATGATGTTGGCCTTGTGGATGGCCGTCAGTTGGGGGGATAGTGGGATACGAGGGGCAAGGGCAGAGAGTGGGATACGAGGGGCAAGGGCAGAGAGTGGGATACGAGGGGCAAGGGCAGAGAGTGGGATACGAGGGGCAAGGGCAGGAAGAGCGGCGCACCTGCAGGAAGAGAGGCGCACCTGCAGGAAGAGAGGCGCACCTGCAGGAAGAGAGGCGCACCTGCAGGAAGAGCGGCGCACCTGCAGGAAGAGAGGCGCACCTGCAGGAAGAGCGGCGCACCTGCAGGAAGAGAGGCGCACCTGCAGGAAGAGAGGCGCACCTGCAGGAAGAGCGGCGCACCTGCAGGAAGAGCGGCGCACCTGCAGGAAGAGCCCGTCTGACTTCTTCATGATGTTGGCCTTGTGGATGGCCGTCACGCGCTGCCGGTTGTGCTCGCGCGCGTACTTGAAGGCGTACTCCGCCACGCGCATGCTGCCCGCGCGCGTGATCACCTTCAGCGACTCTACCACGCCCTTCACCACCTGCGCGCGCCCACAGCGCAGGGGGGGAAAAGGGGTTTGGAGGGATGGGGTGGGGTAGGTGGGGTGGGGTGGGGAGTGGTGTGTCAGGCATGCTGCCCGCGCGCGTGATCACCTTGAGTGACTCCACCACACCCTTCACCACCAGGGGGGAAAAGGGATGGAGAGGGGTGGGGGCGGGTAGGGTGGGGAGGGGTATGTCAGTAGGGAGTGCAATGGTGTGGCAGTAACGACTCCGCTACCCCCCTCACCACCTGCCTGAGCAGATAGGCGAATGGGGGGGTGGGGGAAGGGGTGGGGAGGGGTGGGTGTGTGAGGCAGCTACAGCAAGGGAGTGGGTCACCTGTCAGCAGCACCGCATTGCGCCTCTCCCTTGCACCCACCCACGTCCCTTCCCTCCCCACGTCCCGTCCACTACCCGCTGTGCCTATGCGCCCAATCCTCTTCCTTCGACTCCTCCTCTCCACACCCCACCCACTACCCCACCACCGCCCCGCATCGTCTTCTGGCATTCCGCCCGCCTCAACCCTCGCCCGCTCGCCTCTCCCATTTTCCCCACCTTCTTTTCCTTCAGCCCCATCCTTTCCTTGCCCCCCTCTTCCCCCTCTCCCCCCCATCCTCTCACCGTGTGCTCCAGCCCGCTGTACTCCCCCTCCGTGTTTTCGCGAATGGTAACCAGGTCTACGTCGTCGTATCGCGTGCGGTACCCGGGAATGCTCTTGCACGGCCGCACGTTCGCGAACAGCCCCAGCTCCTTGCGCAGAGTGAGGTTGAGCGACCGGAAGCCCTTGCCGATGGGCGTCGTCATGGGGCCCTTCAGCCCCACGCCGTTGCGCCGCACCGACTCCAGGCTCTCCAGGGTCACGAAGCTGTTGGTGCGCGGGTCGACAGTCGTGCCGATCGCCTGCTCCTCCCACTCCACCGGCACGCCCGCCGCTGCAAACACCTGCCGGGCCGCGCCGAGGGGGAGGCGGGAGGGGAGGGGGCGAGGGGAAGGGGAGGGAAAGGGTGAGAGAGGGGAAGGGACGGGGAGTTCGCGAGGGGATTGGCAGAGGAGAGCGTGCCTTGGGATGCCTGCGGGCGCCGAACCTGCTTGACGGCCACAGCGATTTCCGGGCCGATGCCATCGCCCGGGAAGAGCGTCACGACGCGCTTCTCCTCCTCCGAGCTCGCCGCCGCCGACGACGCCATGCCACGCCGCCACGCTCCCCGCGTCCACTCGGCCGCCGCCGCGCCGCCTTGCGCCGGGCTCGCAGGGCTGTGCGCGCCTGATCCGACGGGCGCCGCGCCGTCGATCGCGGGAGTGAGCGAGCTCATGGCTCGCGATAGCGAGGCTGCGACGCCAGGCGACCCGTTGACGAGTCGTGCGATGCGCTTGAGGGCGACTGAAGCCATGCCGGTGATTGGTGGGCGAGAGGCTGACGTGGATCTACGGGCGAAGCGCTGGGGGATGAGATCGATCGAAGCGACGTGAATCGGTGCCGAAACGACGCGTCGATCGCAGCGGAACGGACGGTCGAAATTTGACGGATTGCGTCGACGGATAAGGAATGGCGAGACGAGGATCGATGGACGGATGGAAGCCAAGGAGGGCCTTTTTGAGCGGGCGGATGCGCGACGGCGGAGCGAGGCACGATGCGCGTGAAGCTAGCGTTGCGGGAAAAGCGGCGAGCGAAAAGGAACGGAAAGGCTGAAGTGGAACAAGGCGCGTGAGGGCGTGGCTCGGACCTACTTATGTACTCGCGCTGCTTGATGCACTTGGCTTTCTAGTTTTGCCTTTAGTTGCTCTAGTCTAGCCTGGTTCCTAGATTTGCCCTTTCCCCTCGCCGCTCGATATTCCGCGCGCGTACACTCCCCCAGCCCTGATTGCGCTGCTCCATTTCGCGCAGGGCACTTGCAGGGACCGCGCCGTGCGAAATCGAGGCGGTGGTGTGCGACAAATGGGGGACACGTGGTCATCAAAGTGAGCGGCGATTCGCCCTCACGTTGCAACCCAACTTCTACTGACGAATGAGCGACAGCCTAGAGAAGTGCTTCGTGACGTGGACGCTAAACGCGTTACAGAGCAACTCGTGATCCCTGAGTCCAGATGTTATGAATTCGCGGTGTAATGAATTCACACTTAACTATGCGTGGATGGATGGGCAAAGCATGGTATGCAGCCTTGGACTTCAAGGGAAATGCATACATAGAATAACCCACGAGTTAGTAAACACGGCCCAACACACACAAGTAGTCTCATGGAGTACATTGCTTGTCCTCTCCTTCAGATTGGCTTCACTGCCTTGCTCTTCCATACCTGCTGCCACGCTGCTGCCACACAGGAACACCAGTTGTGAGGAAGTCGAGACACATATTGCATGCATTGCAACAAATTTCAATAAGTGAATATGGGTGAATGTGAGTGAGTGGTAAGTGTCAACGAGCATCACTCGCAGCATGGAGCTGAGCACGTGGTGGTCAGCGTGTAGCACATACAATCGCTCGTCACACGGTGCATCCTCCACACTCACTTGTGAGGGTGTGAAGCTGAAACCACCCGTGACTCCACCCACACCCCTTCTTGCTCGCTTTGCCCGCGCCCTCTGCTCCTCCTCCTCCTCCTCCTCCTCCTCCTCGTCATCTTCCTCATCATCCTCCCCCCCCTCTATGCCGTCAGGCCTCTCATGCTCCTCCTCATCGCTCTCCTCCCCATCGCTCTGTACACTCATCCCTGCCGTGCCAACACCTGACACACCCAAACTGCTCCACCCACCAACCACTGCTCTCCCTCTCCCCCTTCCCCTCCCTACTGCCCCTCCTGCTGCTGCTGCCCCGCTGCCCCGTCCCCTCCCCCGCCCCTCCCGCTGACTCATGGGGGAGGCAGCAGCGGCAGAGCGGCGCTGGGAGGCTGCCCGCGCTGCTGATGCCTGGGGCAGACGAAGGCAGGGGGGGGAAGAGGATGGAGGAGGGAGTGGTGGTGTGTGGTGTGGGGGGGGCAGCAGAGAGTGCAGTGCACACAAGGAGCAGCAGAGAGCGCAGCGCACACAAGGAGTCATGGACTGCAAGAAACAGGCTGTGGTAGAGAAAGGCAGGGAAGATATGGAGGAGTGGAAGGAGAGGGAGAGGGAAGAGAGGGGAAGATACGGGCAAGGCAAGGCGCACTGACCCTGGAGCCCACACCCACTGCCGCCTCTTCCTCTGCCTTCTCCCCCATATCGTCATCGCCCACCCCACGCCCTGCCGTCATGCCATCAGCCCCACGTGGCGCACCCATCATGCCATGAGCGCCCTGAGCGCCATGAGCGCCCGTATCGTCGTCCTCCTCCTCCTCCTCCTCCTCCTCCACCTGCACCCTCGTGCTGCCCACACTCGCTGCCGCCCTCCCGCCTGCTGCTGTCGCTGCTGCTGCTGTCCTGCATGCACAGCAGCACAGGCAGGGACGCACATGGGTGAGCAGCTGTGGGCTCACACACACGGCTGCTGCCATGCAGAGCATGAATTTCCCTTCGCATGGCATGCACAAGTGTTGTGATCACAACACAACACTGCGGATATTCATCAGCACACCATGCCTTCCTTCCCTCGCTCTGCCTTCCATTGCTTGATGTGCCTCCCATCCCACTGCATGCTCTACCCCCCATCCCACCACATGCCCTGTCTGCCTCCCATCCCACTGCATGCTCTACCCCCCATCCCACCACATGCCCTGTCTGCCTCCCATCCCACCACATGCCCTGTCTGCCTCCCATCCCACCACATGCCCTGTCTGCCTCCCATCCCACCACATGCCCTGTCTGCCTCCCATCCCACCACATGCCCTGTCTGCCTCCCATCCCACCACATGCCCTGTCTGCCTCCCATCCCACCACATGCCCTGTCTGCCTCCCATCGCACCACATGCCCTGTCTGCCTCCCATCGCACCACATGCCCTGTCTGCCTCCCATCGCACCTGCCTCGCAGCCCCATGCTCTCAAACGTCGCCTGCTTCATTCCCCTCCCCCCCGCTCCCCCTTTGCTGCTGGCCCCCCTCCCCCTCCCCCCTCGCCCCCCTCGTAACGACACCCCATCACCAGCCGCCCCTTTCGCACTGCCTCTCCCTCTCCCCCTGCCTCCCCGCCCCTTCCCCCCTCTGCCCTTGCTCCCCTGCTCCCACTCGTCATCCTCCCACTCGTCCCCTTCGTTTGCCCCGTCCCTGTCTTCCCCCTCGCCCCCCCAGTGCGCCCCCCCCTGCTTGGGCGCGTCCATGCTGCCACGCTGCAGTGCACAGGCGGGGGGCAGAGAGGGGTGCGTGGGGAATATATGAAGGCGGGGAAGGTGGGGGGTGGAGAGGACGGGGAGGTGGGGAGATTGGAATGTGCATGGGGTGGCATGGCATGGCATGGCACGAGTATGCATGGCAGCACATGGCAAGGCATGGGTTGGATGGATGCAGAGACGGCAATTCCAAGGCGTGCGGGCAGAAGCACATGCAAGGCAAGGCAATGTGTGGTGAATGGGATGGACATCCAGCAGCCTCTCACTCCACTGCACTCACATCGGGCATCGGCTGCGCTGCTCCTGCATCGGCAGCGCCATGGCCAGGCGCCGCCGCACTGCCCCGCTTCTCCATGTCCTGCGCGGAGCACACCACACCACACCGCACCACACCACGCATGCAGAGCAGGGTGGTGGTTGAGGGCCGGAAGGGCGGATGCTTGGAGCAGCAGTGGGTGCATGGTAGCAAGAAGTTGATAGCAGCCAACACAGCAGCAAGCAAGCAAGAAAGAATCCCATGCAACCAGTCCCCCTCCCCCACCTGCAGCACGCGCTGCTCCCCTCCCCCACCTGCAGCACGCGCTGCTCCCCTCCCCCACCTGCAGCACGCGCTGCTCCCCTCCCCCACCTGCAGCACGCGCTGCTCCCCTCCCCCACCTGCAGCACGCGCTGCTCCACGAGTCGCAGAATGTCCTCGTCGTCCCTCACCCCCGCGCCCTCCTGCTCCTTCACCAGCCATGCCTGCCCCGCACCGCACCGGGTGAAGGACCACCATGTGGGCATGGCAGCGAAGGGGCGAGGAAGATTGGGGTGGGGGTGGGGATGAGGATGAGGCGATGGGGAGGAACGCAAGAGAACAAGTGGCACAGTGCGAGGTGACGGGTAGAAAGGCGCGTGGGAGGAGAAGAGGGGGGGAGGAGAAGAGGGGGGGAGGAGAAGAGGGGGGGAGGAGAAGAGGGGGGGAGGAGAGGAGGGAGAGGCATGGAGGACAGGAAGGAGACACGTGCGGGTGGAGTCAGGCAGGCAGGAACCGATTGGTGTGCGTGTGAGCGAGGAGGGGCTACCTACCTGCGTGTGAGCGAGGAGGGGCTACCTACCTGCGTGTGAGCGAGGAGGGGCTACCTACCTGCGTGTGAGCGAGGAGGGGCTACCTACCTGCGTGTGAGCGAGGAGGGGCTACCTACCTGCGTGTGAGCGAGGTGAGGTTTTACCTACCTGCGTGTGAGCGAGGTGAGGTTTTACCTACCTGCGTGTGAGCGAGGTGAGGTTTTACCTACCTGCGTGTGAGCGAGGTGAGGTTTTACCTACCTGCGTGTGAGCGAGGTGAGGTTTTACCTACCTGCGTGTGAGCGAGGTGAGGTTTTACCTACCTGCGTGTGAGCGAGGTGAGGTTTTACCTACCTGCGTGTGAGCGAGGTGAGGTTTTACCTACCTGCGTGTGAGCGAGGTGAGGTTTTACCTACCTGCGTGTGAGCGAGGTGAGGTTTTACCTACCTGCGTGTGAGCGAGGTGAGGTTTTACCTACCTGCGTGTGAGCGAGGTGAGGTTTTACCTACCTGCGTGTGAGCGAGGTGAGGTTTTACCTACCTGCGTGTGAGCGAGGTGAGGTTTTACCTACCTGCGTGTGAGCGAGGTGAGGTTTTACCTACCTGCGTGTGAGCGAGGTGAGGTTTTACCTACCTGCGTGTGAGCGAGGTGAGGTTTTACCTACCTGCGTGTGAGCGAGGTGAGGTTTTACCTACCTGCGTGTGAGCGAGGTGAGGTTTTACCTACCTGCGTGTGAGCGAGGTGAGGTTTTACCTACCTGCGTGTGAGCGAGGTGAGGTTTTACCTACCTGCGTGTGAGCGAGGTGAGGTTTTACCTACCTGCGTGTGAGCGAGGTGAGGTTTTACCTACCTGCGTGTGAGCGAGGTGAGGTTTTACCTACCTGCGTGTGAGCGAGGTGAGGTTTTACCTACCTGCGTGTGAGCGAGGTGAGGTTTTACCTACCTGCGTGTGAGCGAGGTGAGGTTTTACCTACCTGCGTGTCGGAGAGAGCAGAGGAGAGGAAGGAGGAGAAGGCGTGCTTCTCATCTCGCCCCACAAACCCATGCAGCGCCTCCGCCAGGCCCCCCAGCGATAACACCTCCAGTTTCTTGGAAGCGGGAAGGGGGGGAGGTGTGTGGGGGAAGAGGAGGGGGTGTAGAGGTGAGAGATAGGGGCGGGAGGTGAGGAGGGGGAGAGGATGGAGGAGGCGAAGGGAGTAGAGCGATGGAGGAGGGAGAGGGGCACGTGAGCACATGGAATAGGGAGAGGGGCACGTGAGCACATGGAGGAGTGAGGCGGCATGCGGACAGCAGGACCATCCCATGCTGCCCTCCCATCAGCAACCACCACGTGGCCCATCAGCACCCACAACGTGGCCCATCAGCACCACCACGTGGCCCAGCACCAGCACCCACCACGTTGCTGTCTCTGAGCAGCTGCTCGATGTTGCTCTGATTCAGCTCGTCCGGCTGCACCACCCTCTCCTCGCCCACCTCCACCACGCCTGGGAGTACACGGGGGGCAGGCACGTGGGGAGCAGGCAGGCACATAGGCAGCAGGCGGGCACACAGGCACGGGGGGCACACAGGCACGGGGGGCACACAGGCACGGGGGGCACACAGGCACGGGGGGCACACAGGCACGGGGGGCACACAGGCACGGGGGGCACACAGGCACGGGGGGCACACAGGCACGGGGGGCACACAGGCACGGGGGGCACACAGGCACGGGGGGCACACAGGCACGGGGGGCACACAGGCACGGGGGGCACACAGGCACGGGGGGCACACAGGCACGGGGGGCACACAGGCACGGGGGGCACACAGGCACGGGGGGCATAGGAAAAGGAGCTGTTTGAATTGAGAGCAGGGGGAGTGGGGTGCGACAGGCTTCCCTGCCAGCGGGCACTTCCCCCTGCCAGCGGGCAGTTCCCCCTGCCAGCGGGCACTTCCCCCTGCCAGCGGGCACTTCCCCCTGCCAGCGGGCACTTCCCCCTGCCAGCGGGCACTTCCCCTTGCTCCTATCCCCCACCCTCTGCCCTCAACCACCCTCCGCCCTCAACCACCCTCCGGCCCGGCCATTACCCCCCCGCTCGGAACCCAGGTGGCACTCACTGGTGGCGGGCTTCCTGGTGGGCGCCTTGAAGAACATGAGCATGTCGTGGGGGTTCGCCACCTGCTCGCATGCACGCACGCACACATGCATGGGGATGTGCATGGGAATGTGCAAGAGGATGTGTGCAGGTGTGGGTGGATAGTTGGGCACATGTGTTTCGCACATATGCACATATGCACACGTGCAACATGCGACACACCATGATCACAACGCAAGGGACAACAAGTGGGCTCGTACAGCCGTTCCACATGCACGGTGCTCAGCCCATCCCACCCAACCATCACTCCCCACCCCACCCCACCTCATCTCGCCCCATGCTTTCTCGCCATGCCCCATGCCCCACATTGCCCCACCGTGCCCCACGCGCCATGCCCATGACCAATGCCCCACCGTGTTCCACATTGCACCCACCTTGCCCCACCGTGTTCCACATTGCACCCACCTTGCCCCACCGTGTTCCACATTGCACCCACCTTGCCCACGAACTGCTGCCCAAAGCGCTGCGAGTTGATGGTGGAGAAACCCGAGTAGTCCACCTGGCGGGGAGAGGGGAGAAGGGGGGAGAGGGGAGAAGGGGGGAGAGGGGAGAAGGGGGGAGAGGGGAGAAGGGGGGAGAGGGGAGAAGGGGGAGGGGGAAGGACAGAGGGGAGTGGCGAGGATGGGGAGTGAGAACAAAGGGAGAGAGTGCCAGGGGGACAGGGAGCAGGGGTTGGAGGCGGACAGGCAAGGATGAAGAGGCATGGTCGCTCCACAATAGAAAACAAAGCTTGCACTCGCATTTAAATTCTTTGCACGCAAGAAAGTAAATCGTGCACTCACCGCAACAGCCCCCCCCTCGCCCACACCCTAGTGTGCCCCTCACAGGGAGGCACGCATGACTCACGCGGATGCGTATGAGTGGCAGCGGCACCGGCCCCTCCCTGGCCCCCCCACTGCCGCCCCCCTCCAGCAGCCCCTCTGGCAGCTGTGCTGCTCGCCTCTCCCTGTAGCTGCTCTCTGCCTTGGCTATCATGCGCTGCACCTGAAGGGGGAGGGGGAAGGGGATGAGCATGGGGAGAGATCGGGAGCAGCAGGAGGGGGGGGAAGGGTGTTACATGGCTCTTCTCTGCCTGCGCTAACATGCGCTGCACCTGGGGGGGGGGGGGAAGGGGGAAGTGGGAGGAGGGGACGGATGGGGCAGGGCAGGGAGAGGACGTGCATGGGGAGGGATGGGGCAGAGCAGGAGGGGGAGGAGGTGCGAGCATTACACAGGTGAAAGCACCGTTCAATTCAACCCTCCCCTCCCCTCTTCCCCTTCTCACTGTGGCAGCAGTCCCCGTCCCCCACCTTCCCTCCCCCCCCCCTTGGTCTCACAGTGTTGGAGAGGAAGAGCGCCAGCTCCTCGGGGTCCCTGGCGTTCACACCCTGGGCCTGCGCGTCCCTCAACGCCACCTGGTGCGCAGGGAAGGGGGGAAGGGGGAGGGGAGGTGTAGCAATGAGTGGAGAGGAGGAGGTGTGAGTGCATGCAAGGAGGTGTGAGTGCATGCAAGGAGGTGTGAGTGCATGCAAGGAGGTGTGAGTGCGTGCAAGGAGGCATACATGCCATGAGATGGCGTGAGCGTGGGCCATGCTATGGTGCATGTGGCATGGGTTGGACTGACCTGATGGGGCGACGTGCATGGGTTGGACTCACCTCGGCATATTCGAACGGGCGTGGAGTGGTGAGGGCGATGTTTTGTGTCTTAAAATTGTTTCCCTGTCAGCATGGCAGCATGGTGGCATCACGGTCACAGCATAATTGCATGGTGGCATCACGGTCACAGCATAATTGCATGGTGGCATCACGGTCATAGCATAATTGCATGGTGGCATCACGGTCATAGCATAATTGCATGGTGGCATCACGGTCATAGCATAATTGCATGGTGGCATCACGGTCATAGCATAATTGCATGGTGGCATCACGGTCATAGCATAATTGCATGGTGGCATCACGGTCATAGCATAATTGCATGGTGGCATCACGGTCATAGCATAATTGCATGGTGGCATCACGGTCATAGCATAATTGCATGGTGGCATCACGGTCATAGCATAATTGCATGGTGGCATCACGGTCATAGCATAATTGCATGGTGGCATCACGGTCATAGCATAATTGCATGGTGGCATCACGGTCATAGCATAATTGCATGGTGGCATCACGGTCATAGCATAATTGCATGGTGGCATCACGGTCATAGCATAATTGCATGGTGGCATCACGGTCATAGCATAATTGCATGGTGGCATCACGGTCATAGCATAATTGCATGGTGGCATCACGGTCATAGCATAATTGCATGGTGGCATCACGGTCATAGCATAATTGCATGGTGGCATCACGGTCATAGCATAATTGCATGGTGGCATCACGGTCATAGCATAATTGCATGGTGGCATCACGGTCATAGCATAATTGCATGGTGGCATCACGGTCATAGCATAATTGCATGGTGGCATCACGGTCATAGCATAATTGCATGGTGGCATCACGGTCATAGCATAATTGCATGGTGGCATCACGGTCATAGCATAATTGCATGGTGGCATCACGGTCATAGCATAATTGCATGGTGGCATCACGGTCATAGCATAATTGCATGGTGGCATCACGGTCATAGCATAATTGCATGGTGGCATCACGGTCATAGCATAATTGCATGGTGGCATCACGGTCATAGCATAATTGCATGGTGGCATCACGGTCATAGCATAATTGCATGGTGGCATCACGGTCATAGCATAATTGCATGGTGGCATCACGGTCATAGCATAATTGCATGGTGGCATCACGGTCATAGCATAATTGCATGGTGGCATCACGGTCATAGCATAATTGCATGGTGGCATCACGGTCATAGCATAATTGCATGGTGGCATCACGGTCATAGCATAATTGCATGGTGGCATCACGGTCATAGCATAATTGCATGGTGGCATCACGGTCATAGCATAATTGCATGGTGGCATCACGGTCATAGCATAATTGCATGGTGGCATCACGGTCATAGCATAATTGCATGGTGGCATCACGGTCATAGCATAATTGCATGGTGGCATCACGGTCATAGCATAATTGCATGGTGGCATCACGGTCATAGCATAATTGCATGGTGGCATCACGGTCATAGCATAATTGCATGGTGGCATCACGGTCATAGCATAATTGCATGGTGGCATCACGGTCATAGCATAATTGCATGGTGGCATCACGGTCATAGCATAATTGCATGGTGGCATGGCATGTGTGGGGAGGAGGGGGGGTGTGTGGGGGAGAGGGAAGAGTGAGAGGAGACAAGGAGGGTAGGGAGGAGAGTGGGAATGGTAAGGGTGAGAGGCAGAAGTGGAAAAACGCAGGGATGAGACATGGGGGCACACTTCCTCCTTCAAACTAGCAGGCGAATGGGGAGAAGTCGTGCAGAAGGAGGATCAAGCCTGCCACCATACTCAGTCGCTTGCACCTGAACTCACCGCACCCACATGCACCGCACCCACATGCACCGCACCCACATGCACCGCACCCAGCCCAGATGCAATGCACCCAGATGCAATGCACCTACATCCACAGATGCAGCGCACCTGGACGCGCAGGTGCAGTACGTGTTTTGGCTTGGCCTCGCCCTCTGCCAGCTGCGTGACCACCGATGACCCCGGCTGCGATATGAAATACCTCGCCCGCGCTGGTTGCTGCTCGCATGGAGGAATGGGAATGGAGGGGGAGAGAGCGTAGGGAGAAGAGGAGGGAAGGGGGAAGTAGAGGAGGTAGGTAGGGAGGAGGGAGAGGAGGTAAGGAGGAAGAAGAGGAGGAAAGCAGGAGGGAGAGAGGGGGAATGGGAGGTACATGGAAGGAGAGGGAGAGGGGCACAAAGCGAATGGCATGGGATGAGGGATGTGAAGGTGCGTGCTCCTTCTCCTGTCACCCGCGCCTATCCTACCCACCACGCCCGTCCTGCACCACGCCCGTCCTGCACCCATGCGTGGAGCAGCGCCCCACAGAAAGAGGACGCACTGCTCCATGCTCCGACCCACTCCACCCCATACGCCTCCATCCTAGCCGGCCCCTCACCCCCCCACGACCCCCCACGCCCCATGCCATGCGCCCCCATGCCCTCCTCACCTCGGGCTCAATGCGGCACTCGTGCCCGTTCTCGTGCTCGTGCTCGTGCCCCCACACGACCAGGTCCAGGAAGGACGACCCCTAAGCCCCATCGTGCCCCCCCATGTCACCCCACGCCCCCCCATGAGCCGCCTCCCACCTCGGGCTCAACGCGGCACTCATGCTCGTGCCCCCACACGACTAGGTCCAGGAAGGGCGCGAACCAATGTCCCCCCACGTCCCCCCTTGTACCCCCATGTAACCCCATGTTCCTCCATGTCTCCACATCCCCATGGGTCTGTCTGTCCCACCTCGGGCTCAATGCGGCACTCGTGCTCGTGGCCCCACACGACCAGGTCCAGGAAGGATGCGAACCCTGACTCGTCCACCGTCACCACCTTCTTTGTCCCTGTCATGCGCACTGCCCTGGGGGGACGGGAGAGGATGTGAAGGGGAGAGGGGGAGGAGGGGAGAGGGGAGAGCAGAGAGGGGGAGGAGGGGAGAGGGGAAGTTGCTCTCGTCGACCGTCACCACCTTCTTCACATTCGTCATGCGCACCGCCCTGGGGGGATTAGGGGATGAAGGGTGAGTGAAAGGGTGGTGGAGAGGAAGGAAAGACTAGGAGACGTGGCTTACATGGATGGTGATAAAAAGACTCACCACATGAGGCCGAGCAATCACATTCTGTGAGAAATCCCCTGCTCTGTTACAACTACCTGCTCTGTTGAAATCACCTGTTCTGTTAAGACTACCTGCTCTGCTGCAACCATCACTTCTGGGGCACCACCAGGGTGTTGAAATCACTTCAACACCTGTTCTGTTGGAAACCACCTGCTCTGTTGAAATCTGCTCTGTTGAAATCACCTGCTCTGTTGAAATCACCTGCTCTGTTGAAATCACCTGCTCTGTTGAAATCACCTGCTCTGTTGAAATCACCTGCTCTGTTGAAATCACCGGCTCTGTTGAAATCACCTGTTCTGGTGCACGACGAGGATATTGAACCAGTCGTCCTCACTCGTGCCCGGCTCGTCTGGTCGGATCCACTGCAGCCCCTGTGGGTTCTGCGGAGAGGAGGGTGATGGGGGTGATGGGGGTGATGGGGGTCTTAGTTGGATTTGACGGAGCAAGCGGTTTGGACGGTTCCGTTTTGACGGTCCGTTTTTTACGCTGGACGGAACACTCCAAGAATTTGACGGTGTAATTGACGCTCTGGTGGACAGGCAAAAAAACTTTCGGGCAGCAAAAAAAAACCAGGGGGGGTGGGGTCTCGGGGGGGGGGGAAGAAGGCAAAAGGTTAGTTAAGGGTTCGGGCAGCCCAAGAATGAAAATTTCCCCCCAAAAAAAAACTCCATAAATAGTAGCATGCATGCATTGTTATCATGTACCCACACTACTGTTATTATCCCATCATCCTCCCATATGCTTCCACTTAAATACGGGACCATAAGCACCCGTCTGCTGTACCTGCACCACTATAACATGCAACACCCCCTATGGCTTCTGTCGAAACCCTAAAAGTAAGTCGCGTTAGTTGGGGGAAGAGGGAAATGCGTCTTTTGGTTGGACACTGTAGATTTAGTGCGGTGGGAAGGGGTAGGAGGGTTGATTTCTGTTGAAATGTGTTTTCTGTTGTGTTGCAATGTCGAGTGAAATGTATGTGCGCTGTGCAGGTTGGGTTATGTAGTTGTAGTGCGGTCGAAAGGGGTGGAGGGGTAGGATTTTGTTTTAGGCTTTCCTGTGTGGTGGAATGTCGAGAGACATTGCAGTCCCGACATCGAGTGCCTTATAAGTCGCCTTAGCAATCGCGATGTTGCCTTAGCAGCCGCCTTAGCAGTCGCGATGTTGCCTTAGCAGCCGCCTTAGCAATCGCGATGTTGCCTTAGCAGCCGCCTTAGCAGCCGCGATGTTGCCTTAGCAGTCCCGATGTCGAGTGCCTTAGTGGTCGCCTAAGCAGTCGCGATGTCGAGTTCCTTAGTAGTCGCCTTAACAGTCGCAATGTCGAGTGCCTTAGCAGTCGCGCGAAGTCCAGAAGCGGATTTTCTTTTGCGCCGGAAACAAATTTCGATTTCGGGCTGCCCGAAAAAAATTCCTGGGACCGTCAAGCGTCAAAACGACCGTCCAGCGTCTTGCGTCAAAATGCTCCGTTTTGACGCTTGACGGTTTCCTGCTGGAGCGTCAAATCCAACTAAGATGGGGGTGATAGCAGTGATGGGGTTGATGGGGGTGATGGGGGTGATGGGGGTGATGGGGGTGATGGGGGTGATGGGGGTGATGGGGGTGATGGGGGTGATGGGGGTGATGGGGTGATGGCGGTGATGGGGGTGATGGGGGTGATGGGGGTGATGGGGGTGATGGGGGTGATGGGGGTGATGGGGGTGATGGGGGTGATGGGGGTGATGGGGGTGATGGGGGGGGTGATGGCGGTGATGGGGGTGATGGGGGTGATGGGGGTGATGAGGGTGATGGGGGTGATGGCGGTGATGGGGTGATGGGGGGTGATGGGGGTGGGGGTGATGGGGGTGGGGTGATGGGGGTGATGGGGGTGATGGGGGTGATGGGGGTGATGGGGGTGATGGGGGTGATGGGGGTGATGGGGGTGATGGGGGTGATGGGGGTGATGGCGGTGATGGGGGTGATGGGGGTGATGGCGGTGATGGCGGTGATGGGCGGTGATGGGGGTGATGGGGGGTGATGGGGGTGATGGGGTTGATGGGGGTGATGGGGGGTGATGGGGGTGATAGCAGTGATGGGGTTGATGGGGGTGATGGGGGTGATGGGGGTGATAGCAGTGATGGGGGTGATGGCGGTGATGGGGGGTGATGGGGGTGATGGGGGTGATGGGGGGGGGTGATGGGGGGTGATCGGGGTGATGGGGGTGATGGGGAAACCCTAAGCCATCCCGCCCTTCCCTCTGCGTCACCCACCCAGCCCCCCACTCACATCCATGATCATCTTGAGCCGCTCATCCCGCATGTACCCCAGCCCGTACAGCGCTATGCGGTTCGCGCCCTGGGGGCGGGTGGGGGGAAGGGGGGAATCCTGTTGGCAGGTGGCGAGTGAAGAGTGGGAGGGGATGGGTTTCCCAGCCCGTACAGCGGTATGCGGTTAATGCCCTGGGGAATGGGATGGGAGGAGAGGAAGGGGGAGAGGAGAGGAAAGGCAGGGAGGGAAAGCGAGGGGGGGCATGTGGGAGGCGGGAGCTTGCTTGAACGCACCGTTTTAAGCATAAAACAGCAAGTTACCTTGCTTGCATCCCACCCACGCACCTTGCGCAGCAGCACGGGGTGCAGGGTGATGTGAGCGGCGTCATGCTCGGGCATGTTGGACTTGCCAAAGTAGTTCACCAGATTGCACGATGACAGGATGTCTACTGCTGATAGGTTGTCCTGGTGAAGAGCAGGGGCAGGCATGGAGGGAGGCATGGGGGCAGGCATGGGGGCAGGCATGGGGGCAGGCATGGGGGAAGGCATGGGGGCATGTTGGACTTGCCAAAGTAGTTCACCAGATTGCACGATGACAGAATGTCCACCACTGATAGGTTGTCCTGGCGGCATGAGAGGGTGGAGGGACAGAAGGAGGGGAAGGGAGGGGCGGGAGGGAATGCATTGTTGATTGCTTGGAGACAGGATGTGCACCGCTGACAGGATGTGCACCGCTGACAGGATGTGCACCGCTGACAGGATGTGCACCGCTGACAGGATGTGCACCGCTGACAGGATGTGCACCGCTGACAGGATGTGCACCGCTGACAGGATGTGCACCGCTGACAGGATGTGCACCGCTGACAGGATGTGCACCGCTGACAGGATGTGCACCGCTGACAAGCTATCCTGCCGCAGAGAGGGCGGTGGGGATGCACGCATCCACACACGCACACTCACGGACGCATGGGGGGCTAGGGGATGAGGAACGTTCCATGGGGGGCTAGTGGAGGAGGTGGAGGGGTGGATGCAGTGGCCGCGGCAGCAGGCAGCCGCCCTCTGCCGCACGCGAAGTCAATTGGGGAGCTCAAGTTTCTGCTTCTAGATGCATCATGCATGCACAGGTGGTCTTTCAACTGACGGTTGGAGGCGAAGTGAATGGAGAGGGATAAGGCACAACAGGGGGGAAGAATCGTCCAGCTAACGCCATCGCCAAGCAACCACGCCTCTAACCGCCCCTCCCACCGCCCCCCCCACCCGCCCCCCCCACCGCCCCTCCCAGCAGGTGCGCGTGTGTGCATGTGATTCTCACGATGCCAGCGGGGTCGTGGTGGTTTGACATGCACGGTGAAGACAGGCATGCCATCAGCTAGGAAGCAACCTCCCTATCGCCCCGAGTGTGCACGTGATCTCACTCACAATGCCGGCAGGGTCGTCATGGTTGCCATGCACGGTGAAGACGGGCATGCCCACGTTGTAGTGCTCGTCCTCGTAGTTCACATGCCCGAACCTGCCATGCACCACACACACGCAGCATGCATGCACACGCATGCAGCATGGCAGCACATGCACGCAGCCATACAGCATAGTGCAGTGGCAGCGTGTGAGTTGCATAGAAACGCTGCTGCAAAGGATAAGAGACGAGCCGCAAGAGCGTGAAAGGAAGAGTCAGCAAGGCAGGGAGCTGGCGTCTGGGAAGAGCATGAGGACGCACGAATAGGGGAAGTTGCAAGATTGGTCGCTCACGAGTTGGGGAAGTTGAGGGCTTGGTCGCTCACGAGTTGGGGAAGTTGAGCGTTTGGTCGCTGACGACTTGGAAGCGCACGGGGTTGTCGCTGAGGCAGTAGCGGCGCAGAATGTCGATTGTGCGCACCAGCGTGGCGCGCGACGGCTTGTTGTCGTGAAACAGATCCCCGCCCAGCAGCAGGAAATCCACCTGCGCGGTCACATGCATACCAGGACACACGTGCACGTGAGCACACATAGAGACAAGTCTAACTGAACGACTGACACTGCACCATGCAAATACTCGTGCAGGCCCCCCCTCCCACCTGCAGCGACTGGGCGAGTTTGCAGATCTCCTCAAAAGCGGTGAAGGAGTCGTGGCGGCGCACCATGGGAATATCCGTGCAATCCCTCCCCCTCCCCTCCCCCCCCTGACCTGAAGCGACTGGGCCCTCCTCACCTGCAGCGACTGGGCTCACCTGCAGCGACTGCTGCCCCAACCTGCAGCGACTGCTGCCCCCACCTGCAGCGACTGCTGCCCCCACCTGCAGCGACTGCTGCCCCCACCTGCAGCGACTGGGCGAGCTTGCAGATCTCCTCAAAGGCGGTGAAGGAGTCATGGCGGCGCACATCGTCCTTCTCCATGAAACCCAGGTGGTTGTCCGTCGCCACTAATATGCTGAACGCGTCCTCGCTGCGACCCACGGGGAAATGAAGCATAGAGAAAGTTCGCGCGGGTAAGAGGGCAGAGGGGGAGGGCGCACATCGTCCTTCTCCTTGAAGGTTGTCCGTCGCTACCAGCACGCTAAACGAGTCCTTGCTGCGCTCCCATACCGTCGCCCGAGGGAAGCGCTCATTGGGAAGGGTGCACGGGGGAATAGCACAACGGAAAAGGGCGCACAGGGAAAGTGCGCAAAAGGGGAAAGGGGTGTACGGGTTGAGGGTGCAGGGCGGGCGGAGGAGAAAAAATTGACACGGTAATAGAATTTTCGGTTACTAACCGAGTCTCCTTCATTCAAAGTCGTCCGTCATTCCACAGCTGTCCTTCGGCTGGCATTCTAGGAGCGTTGCCACAGGTGCGTTCAACAATCGCTTCTAAGGACCAAAACGTTGGCTCGTGTTGTTTCAGTAGCCGCGACATTCAGTTACTGCTAACCGTATATCGTGAAACACGGTCGAACGTCTCGTTACGAGGCAGACACGGATCCGCGCATCGGCGCGCCGTAGATCTGCGCGTGCGACTCACCCGGGCTGCGTGCCCTGCGACATGATGGCGACTGATCGTAAAGAGAAGGGGGAAATTCCGGCAGGTAATCAGCGAAGAAGCTTCCCGACGGTATATCATGCGACGAGGTTGCAGCAGAGGCGGCGATGTAGAGCACGGCGATTAACGCTGTGGAGCTGCTGCGAGGAAGTTCCGAAATTCCGAATTTCACAAGTCACCGCCCTGACAATGAGTGGTAGAAGCCACATTAGACCACTTCACATCACACGGACAACAGCATTGGTTCTGTCAGCAATTCCCCAAGCTCCTGAGACATGGAAAACGCGGGAAGCGAGGGCGTCGCCCTGGAGTTGTCGTCACCATGAAGTTGCCACATCAGATTTGGCTGTTTGGGCCTGCGACTTGGTTGCCGATGAATGTGTGAATTGCTTCGAATAATTGTAAGATCGGTTACTGTAGTGAAATTCATGTACACAAAGTGACGAGACTGACGTTATTCGCAGGTCTGACTTTGTCACGGATGGAGAGAAGCATGATGTGATTGGACATAGGCCAAATGTCTTTCACGGATTCGTCACATTCAGCCGCATGTTCCTGCGGCTCCTAAAACCGCAACCCACCAGCACTTAGCCTCTCGCACGCAATTGCTGGGAGTTGAGTGAATTTGACGCGTAAAACCACCACCTAGAGAATTCTAGGCCATCGAAATTGGACCGGTCGGTCATTCTGCTCGAGCTGAGTTTTATATACAGTACATAGCACACGGATTTTCGTCATTGGGATTAGCGAATATTCTGCCTGATTTACTAGGATCGCCTGCCTCCGGAACCGATTTCCGCGCACCAGCTTCCCGTCACTTGGTCTGCGTGTCACCATGGCCACCAGCACCTCTCTTCTCGCGCACCCCCTCGCCGCCTCCCCCGCATCCTCCGCCTTCCCGTCCGCATCCTCACCCGCCTTCGCCGGCAAGCCGCTGCCCGCTCCGCCTCTAATGCGTGCGTCCGCTTCTCCAGATCCCCTCCCCGCGCGCCCGCTCCGCTGCGAGGCCAGACCCGCGGCCGCCGCTGCCGCCGCTGCTGCCTCCGCGGCGACTGCGGCGGAGCGCGCGGCAGCGGTGGCGGCGGGGATGCCGTCGGCGGAGGAGATCATGGCGATCGAGCGCGACGTGGTGGTGCAGACTTACGGGCGCACGCCGCTCGTTGTGGCGGCGGGCGCGGGGAGCCGCCTGTACGACACGGCGGGGCGCGAATACATCGACATGGCATCAGGCATTGCGGTGAACTCGCTGGGCCACGGCGATGCTGATTGGCTCGCCGCTGTCACGGATCAGGCCGCGACGCTGGCACACGTCAGCAATCTGTATTACACGTGGCCGATGGTGCAGCTGGCGCAGCGGCTGGTGAAGTCGTCGTTCGCGGATCGCGTGTTCTTTGTGAATTCCGGCACGGAGGCCAACGAGGCGGCGATTAAGTTCGCGAGGAAGTACCAGCTGGCGAAGAGCGGCGACGAGCATGCGACGGAGTTCGTCGCATTCGGTAACTGCTTCCACGGTCGCACAATGGGCGCGCTCGCGCTCACCTACAAGCCGCAGTTCCGCGCGCCGTTCGAGCCGCTAATGCCCGGCGTCGCGTTCGCCGAGTACGGCGATCTCGAGGCGGCGGCGGCCGCCATCACCGCGGGGCGGACGGCGGCGGTGTTCGTGGAGCCGGTGCAGGGCGAGGGCGGCGTGTTCGCCGCCACCGCGGAGTTCCTGCGCGGTCTGCGCCGACTATGCGACGAGCGCGGCGCGCTGCTGGTGTTCGACGAGGTGAGGGGGGCGGGGCGGAGGTGGCGATGGCGAGAGGGCGAGGGAATGAAGGGGTGAAGTGGGTGGAGGAGGGCGAGAGAGACCTCCTGTCAGCGCACATCAGGGAAAATGCGCAGCCGGGGCAATTCCGGGCCTTAATCACGCCCTCACCGTTCTCGTCCCTCCTTCACTCGCGCTCAGCACCCCTGCCTGATTGCCGCATCTGTCCAACTGACCGATTACGCAATTCCCCATCTCCTCCTTGCCCCCCCGCTCGCTCCTCTCACGCGTTCCTCCTCCTGCATCCCACCCCCTGCTTCGGTGCACTCCCTTTTTTCCCTGTCCCCTCATTAATCCCCAGTGTCCCCCTGATTCATTCTGTGTCGCTCCTGCCTCTTTCCACCCTCTTCTGCTTCGCCTGCCGCCCAACCCTTCCCCCTCCCGCCCCTCCATTCGCGCAGATCCAGTGTGGGTTGGGGCGCACGGGGCACGTGTGGGCGCACGAGGCGTATGGAGTCACGCCCGACATCATGACGCTCGCCAAGCCCCTCGCAGGTACCTACCGCCATGCTGCCATGCATGCATGCCCTGCCCCCTAACCCCTTTTTTTGAGGTGCCTCAAAACGAGGCGTATGGAGTCACGCCCGACATCATGACGCTCGCCAAGCCGCTCGCAGGTACCTGCCGCCACCCCACCACGCCCGCATGCCCGGCACCCTACAACCCAGTTCATCCTCCCTGCCTCCATTGCCTCTCTGCCCCACCCCCATTGTCTCTCTGCCCCACCCCCATTGTCTCTCTGCCCCACCCCCATTGTCTCTCTGCCCCAACCCCATTGTCTCTCTGCCCCACCCCCACTGTCTCTCTGCCGCACCCCCATTGCCCTGCACCTATCGCCTCTTCCCTGCTTATCTCTCCTAGTCTTCCTGTCTCCTGCTTCTCAACATGGCTCCTCGTCCTTCCATCCTCCCATGCCCCCTTTCCCCACTCCCCCCCATCCCTCCCCCATGGCCCTGCTCCAGGCGGGCTGCCCATTGGAGCGGTGCTGGTGACCAATCGCGTGGCGGCAGCAATGTCACCCGGCGACCACGGCAGCACTTTTGCCGGCAACCCACTCGTATGCCGGGCGGCACTTGCCGTCCTCGATAAGATCGCCGACCCAGCCTTCCTCGCCAGTGTGGAAGCCAAGGGAGAGCTGCTTCGGAAGCTGCTCCGGGAGAGGCTCGGGGGAAACCCACATGTGAAGGAGGTTCGGGGGCGGGGGCTGATGGTGGGCGTGCAGTTGGATGTGGGGGCGGGGCCGCTGGTGGAGGCGGCGAGAGGGGAGGGCGTGCTGGTGATTACGGCAGGCAAGGGTGATGTGGTGCGCCTCGTGCCACCTCTTGTTATCACAGAGGAGGAGATTGAGAAGGCTGTTGATGGCCTTGCTAAGAGCCTACCAGCCCTAGGTTGACAATGTGGTTGTTTAGGGTGACGTCAGGTTGTACGTTTCTCACAAGCTAACAATTCTTGTATCGTGGCAGAGGACAGTTCCATGCGGTGTAAAAAGGTTTGCAAGGTTCACCATTTTGCACCGTGACAAACTTGACTGCAGTGAGCGTGTGAAAAGTTGTACAACCTGACCTCGCCCTTAATTTCGATGCATTGGCAAACTCACCAGTATCAATAATTTTTTATTGAGATTTTGAGGCCCGTTATTATAACCGTGAAGATCACATGCTTGTGACGAGTAGAGATCGCATTTGACCTCTTCCAGCTGATGTGCCCCTTGCCTCTTTTGTCCGTATGCCTTGACTGCCCCAAGTCGTGACCACCAGCCAATCATATTCTCTCGTCGACTTTCCATCCCAGGTCAAATTTCGTGGATCGAATTTGCACGCGTGTGACTTTTTTATCGAAGCAGCGTGTTGAATTCGGCTCCATTCAGTTCAACAGCAAACTACACCTGATGCTCACCTCCTGCACGCGAAATTGCCTTGCAACGGACGGAAACCTTGCACCCGTGGGTTTTGTGCCGTGACGTTGCACCCACGTTACAAGCACGTCGACCAATACGAACCACAGAAACTGAAGTTTGACTGACGAGACCAAAGTCAAACAGTCAGCGTTGAGTTACAATTGTTTTTTATAAGCCCTTTTTGCCCGATGCGAATTGACGAAATCTTCAAGCGAAGCGAGAATCGCTTATAAGCCCAGAGGGTAAGGCGAGGTCGGGGGGCTCAACCGGGCATCGTGTGTACACGTACCATTCGGCAATCTGCCTGATTTTTTGCACCAAACACAACCGTCGCGCTTTATTCCCCCTTTCGCCATATTGCCGTGCCGCCAGCCACGCGAGACCGTCCCGTCCGCCCGTTCGTGGTGGAATTTTGCTCTTTTTGTCTGCCTCCAACTGCCTCCTAACCTGTGGCGCGGACGAAATGAGACAACAAGACGAACCGAATCTGCCCAGGCCGACCATGGGAATGGAGGGATGGAATCCGAGATGAAGGCAGGCGGGCAGCAGCAGCATCTTTCTGTCTGTGGCTGGATCATCGGAAAGGAGCAGCTCGCATTTATCAGCCATCATTCTTCTCACGACTGCTCTTCCGAAGAGACACTGGAAAGGCAGTCGAGCTCAAGCACCAGTGAGGCATTTGGCTGCAAATGAAAGCTCAAAATATCTATTCTCACCCACCGCTTAGACAACGTTTTACGCCTGCCACGAGAGTCCACACGGGCTGGGTTACTCTGACAGCGCGACCGCGCGACTGCTGAGATTGCGACCGCGTCACGGCCATGTCTCTTGTGGAGCCTTCTTGCGGGGACGTCGTCGCGCCACGGTGAGCGCATTTTCAAGCGAGAACCGCATTTTCCTCGCCGGCTTGCAAGAGCCGCTCGTTGTCTTGCTTTCCCGCGCAATCCGGTGCGTTTTGGGGCGCGGGTCGCTGCTCGCCGTGATTTGCGGCGGATTTTGAGAAGTCACGATGCCTCGCGTTAAGAAGTCGATGTGGCAATTGGATTGACTATGTTCGCCTCGGCCTGCCGCCTCTGCCGCTTCCCCCTCCCAGCCACCCGCACTCCAGCAGATCCGCGCACGGCGCCCGCCCGGAAGCGCGACACGCGCGCTCGCTGTCGCATCAGATGATCGCACCAGTCGCCCACAGCGTCGCCGGAGTCGCTGATTCGTCGCAGCCGCGTTCGGACTCCGAAAGCTCCCCGGGGGAGTCGACCCAGCCGCATCACCCGCCGCATCTCTCGCAGCTGTGGCAGCGACGCAGCTGGCAGCCCGCCGCGTCGCTTCAGATCGACCCGCGCCGCCAATCCTCCGCTGGATATGCAGCCTTCGGCGCGGCGCGCCACTCGAGGAGCGCAAGCGCGGCCGGACTGCTTTCCGTGGATTGTGGCGGCGATCGCCCCGATCGCGGTGCGAGCCCTTATAGAGCAGCCGTACGTCCCGCGGGAAGCGCTCGGGAAAGGCCCGGGGATTGCGGAACTGTCGGCGCGTCGCACGGTCACAACGCAGGCGCGCGACAAACGCTCGCTCGGTCGCACAGCGTCTCGGGTGGCGCGACGTCGACGTCAAAGGGAGCCGTTGCGACGGGCGCGGCCGTCGCACACGCAGATGGCACGTCGCAGGGTCACCGCGACGCTGTCGCACGTCTCGTACGCGGCGCTTCCGCGTCACCGCCGGGGCGCGCAGCCGCCGTCGCCGCCACTACGGGGGTGAGGAAGGCGGCGGGAGGAAGCAGCGAGTCGACGGCGTGGGGCACTGGCGGAGCTGGCGGAACCGTCACCGCGGGTAGCAGCGCCGCGGGTGCCGGAACCAGCGGAACTGAGGCTAGCGCAGGCAGCATCGGGACGCACGCGCGCGCGTTTCGGCGGAGTGCGAGCTGCGCATTCAGGGCGGGCGGAGAGGCCGCGGGGGATGGCGGCGAGCGCGCCTTGCGGAGGGGGCAGAGTCAAGTAGTAAGGGGCAGCAGCACCGGCGACGGCGGAACGTTAGATGCTGCCGCCGCCAGCCCTGCTAGCCATCGGCGCGCCGGCGGCGCCGCATTTCAGCGCGTGTTTTCCACTTCGTCCCTCGAGGAGCCCTTCCCTGCCGGCGCCGCCCTTTCCCCGCCGCGCGCGTCCCCAACTTGGCCCTCCGCGGCGCACGCTCGCCGACACTCCACTTGCGCCGACTTCCGCGCGCTCAGTCCCGCCGCTCGCCCGCTCCCGCGGAAGACCGCTGGGACAGGATCGAATGCCGCAAGCTCAAGTGCTGCCGCGGCGAAAGCGGGAGATGCGCCAGTCGCCCCGGCGGCTCCTGTCGCCGTCACTTCCGCGCCGGTTCCCGCGCCGGCCCCGAGCGCTGAAAGCCCCCCCGCCGGCGGGACAGCGTCGGCGGGTTTTCCGCGGGGAGTGGCGGCGGGGCGCGCGGCGACTCGGCGGAGCGCGTCGCTGGCGTCGCTGGCGGAATGGCAGCAGACGGTACGAGCGGAGCCCCCCGCGCGGGAGGGCAACGCGGGCGTGAGACGCGTCGCGTCGCCAAAGCCAGCCCACTCGTTTCCGCCCCGTTGCGTGTCGTTTGAGTCCCATGACCCCAAGGCGGCGGGATCGGCGGGTGCCATTCACAGTGCGAGTCACAGTCCGGGTCACAGGCGCAGCGTCAGCCATGCCGTTAGCGCAGATGGCAACCGAGGCATCAACGGTTCCCATGGCAGCAGTCATGGCGCGCCGAGCGTGAGTCCGCGAAGACGCGCCATGCTTCCCCCTCCCTCCCCCACCCACCACCACCACCACCAGCCGCCGCCGCACGCAGCAGCAGCTGCAGCAGCAGCAGCAGCAGGCCCGGCAGGGAGGTGCGTGGCGCCCGCCGCCTATATTCACACGAATCAGTGCGGACGATGATGGTGGGGATGATGACGACATGCACACTCGCGCTTGTGTCACACTCGATCTAGCAGAAGCCGTTCCTGCGCTTGTGTCACACTCGCCCAACTCCCCGCATGTACCCCAAGCAGCAGTGGCGGAACCAGCTGCAGCAACAGCAGCAACAGCAGCGAAGGTGGCAGGGGATTCAGCCTCGAGTGCGCTCTCCCCTTCCCCCCGATCCCCCCTCGCCTGGTCCTCCCCGCGCCTGCACTCCCCCTCTCAACCGCTCCCCCAGTCAAAAGCCCCCAGGCAGCCGCGCCTCTCCGCCTCTCCCCGCGCCCCCCCTCCGCCCGCCTCCACCCGATCCCGCCCCACACACGTGCCCCGCTGCTCCTCCGTGCCTACCGCAGCCCTGTCGCAGGTTCGGGTGCCTGCCGGACCTCCAGCCTCGGTACGACGCTCGGGATCCCGGTCCAGTGAGTGGCAGCTGCAAGGTTCGGTGGGCGGGAATAGTCAACCGGAGGGTTGGTCCGAGTCAGATGGGGAGAGCGGCAGCGTGAGGGAGCGGAGCGTGCATGCACATAGCTGCCGCAGAAGTGCCACCGGCAGCAGCAGTAGCAGTGGTGATATCAGCGCTGCTCTCGGCACGTCGCTGCCCTCGCCTCCTCCTGCCCTCCGCCGCCGCCAAACCACTCCCACCAGCCGTCCCTCCGACGATGCCGCCTCTTCCCCTTCCTCCTCCTCCTCCTCCCCCTCTGGCGCGCACCCCCCTGCCCCCGCGCCCCCAACGCCCTCGCGCCGAGTGACCTTCAATTCCATGGTCCTCGTGCGCCGCTTCTCCCCCCTGCCACACTCCTTCTCCCCCTCCTCCCCCTCCCCCTCCCCCTCCTCCGCTCTCCCCCTCACCGTCACCACCAGCAGTGATGCCCCCGCCTCCCTCGATGCCCCCGCCTCCCCCAATGCCCCCACCACCCCCGATGCCCCCGCCTCCCCCGATGCCCCCACCACCCCCGATGCCCCCTCCTCCCCGAAATCTCCCCCCTCCGCCAACGCCCCCGCCTCCTTGAGAGCTCCCCTCTCCCCCAGCTGGCCCTTCCCCCCGCCCCCCCGCGCGCCCTCTGCAGCGGACCTGCCGTCCCCCGCCGCTCGGAGGCACCTGGCCAAGTTCGGACTGCTGGAGGCACTGTGACAGACGACTGGGCAGCTCAGGCTGCTTGCTGCTCTCTGCCGCGCCCCTCTTCCCCTGCGGCCGCTCGGAGGCACCTGGCCAAGTTCGGACTGCTGGAGGCACTGTGACCGGCACATGGGCGACTAGAGCCGCTGTGAGGCACACAGGCAGCTCCAGCTGCTTCCTGGTCCCCACCGCTCCCCTCCTCTCCTGCTGCTGCCCCTCGCCGTTCGCAACGCCCCCATCACATGGCACGTGCATGGGTGGAGAAGCATGGGGCATCAGCATATGCATCCACAGCACGAGTGAGCAGCCAGCCATGCATTCTCGGCATCCGGGGTCCAACCAGCCCAAGTGTGATGTGATGTGATGCTAGCAGCAAGATTTATTGGTGGCAGCAACTGTTTTGCTTCTAGCTCTGCTGTTGCTCGCAGGGGCTGCTGGAAGTTCCTCCCACTCGCTCCACCTCTGATAGTGATGCCACTCATTGTACTTCCCTGTTTAATGTTGTATTGGCATGTTACAAAGCAAGGGCTATTCCATAGCGCTACGGTGATCTGAAGAAGCACATACCCATGCCTTTTTTCCCCTATAGTATTGTGACGGCAGGAAAATGTTAAAATGATTCTTAAATGAATCCAACATAGCCCTGATTCTCACAAGCAGCAGCCACAACAAGCAGCACTCACAACCAGCACTCACAAGCAGCAGTCACGTCACAAGCAGCAGTCACGTCACAAGCAGCAGTCACAAGCAGCAATCGCAAGGCAACAGTCACTAGCAGCAGTGATGAGCAGCAGTGATGGCACACCGGGCAGACATGAGCAGCAATCACTTGCCACGTGCCAGATCTGGCAGCTGGGGAGTCAAATGGCATGCTGCCAAGGCAGGCAGTCACACAGAAAGCAGCCGAGGAGTCCGGTGTAAGCATGCAGTCACAAGGAGTGAGCCACAAGACCAAAAGCAACTCACTGACTGATGCATGTCGCAATGGCAAGTAGCAGAAAAGGGGAAGAGGACATGCAGCAGGCGAAGGGAAGAGGGAGACAAGTAGCAAGTGCGGGGAAGGGAAGAGGGGGACAAGTAGCAGGTGCGGGGGGTGAGCGGGAGAGGGACTTGAGGAGAGCTGTGAGATGAGTGGTAGGGGCAGGGCGGACGACGGATGATTAGGAGGGGCAGGAGAGAGGGGGAGGTGGGGAGGGGTGGTGGGGGGGGGTGGGGGAGGGTCTGGAGAGTTGGATGGGAATGAGGAGATAAAGGGTGAGTGGAGGAGGAATGTGGGTTGGTTGGGGGGAAGGGACTGGAGAGAGGGGATGGATGGGAAAAGGAAATGAATGAATGAGTGTATGGGTGGGGTTGACGAGGGGTGAGCGGGGGAGGTGAGGGGAGGCCGGGGGGGGATGAGGGATGGTTAGGACATGGGAATTGGGGGAAGATGACGGGTGGGTGGGGGTACAGGGGGAGGGGAGGGAGAGGGGGGGGAGTGGGGTATGGGGAGAGCCGGGGAGATGAGGAACGAGCACAGAGAATGAGGGGAGGGCGCTGAACATGGGGGAAGAGCGGGGAAGATGAGGGGAGAGTGGGGGAGACGAGGGGGGAGCGGGGATTTTGAGGGGAGAGAGGGGGGAGCGGGGATTTGAGTGGGGAGCCAGTTCCTTGACCGGAGAGCGGAGAGGAAAGGGACGAGGCGAGAGCGGGAAAAAATAAGGAGAGAGCGGGACAAGATGAGGGATGTCCTTCGGTCCCCCCCTCCCCCCTCCTCCCTCCCCCCCCCCCACCCACCCCCTTCTCCCCTCCTTCCACTTTCCCGCATTCCCTCCCTTTCCCGCAACACACCCACGTCTCTTACCTTTTTCCTTCCCTTTCTTCTAACGTGTCGAGTGGTAACAACATCAGCCATCATCCATGCTGATCCGCATCCGCTTCATCACCTGCTTAACGATATCGGGTAGGCGGTATTGGCGACACTAATGGGCGCGAACCGAAGCTTTTGATGCGTCTGCATGGGAAGTGTCTGCAAATCGATGGTGTTAATGTGTTCGCAAATCAACACTAATTATTCGTCCGCAAACAAACGGTACTACTCCAGCCGCAATGCATAAGAATTCAATACTGTACCGACTACTGGCGACTATACCAACATCTGATGCCCGCAACTGGCGGTGACTACTTGAAGCTGACGGTACTTACCTAACTACGTTAAGTAACAAATAGTAAACTACGACTGATAAGCGCGACTAACATCACCTACGGTGCAAAAATTTGGCGCCGAGATCCAAGGACCTATGCGGGATGAATACCAAGAGGCGACGGTAATGCGGTGAGATCTAAAAACCAAGAAAGGACGATGACGATGAGAGAAGATTATGGTTGATGCAGGAGGGGAGGGTGGTGGTTGATGTGGCGTGGTGGATGTGCCTCCCTCGATTTCTATTGGCTCGCGTGATTCCCCCTCAACCACTCCTCGCTATTTCAGCTGCCCCAATCTGATTCACAGTCAACAAGGGAGTTGCGAGGGCAGCCAAAACTCGCGAGGCTTCAGCCGAATAAATAATTTTGCCCATTTCAACACCATCCCGCATCTCACGCAAGCCTCACTAAATAACTCAACCTCTCGATTCAACAGGAAGTGCCACGTCAGTTTCCTCCTAAAAAATGTATCTTCCTGCCCCGGCTCTGAGCCCGACGTTGGGTGCCCACCACCAGACCTTACCACAAACAGTACGCTCCCTGAGATGATTCGTTTGCCTCAAGGCAACCAAACCCAACCGAATAACCAGGCTCTCAACTCTATACATTCCGTATTTGAAAATGAAACTGTTCAAATGTTATGCAAGGCGGTTTTCTTGTACTGTACACATTTCGGTAGCCTAAAAAATATCACAGGATTAACAGGTTCACACTTCCAAACCGCGAATTCATTTCACCAATCGCACTCCATCGCACAGCTCGAACAAATTCCCACCGTTGGCGGCGGCTACAGTTGTTCATCACCATCATCCATTGTGTCCTGCAACCCAACCAACACAAGTTTTTCCCGCACTTCACAGGGCCACAAAACCAGCCGCGACGTGTCGCACCCCTCTGCACCCAGCAACCCATCGCATTTCATTTGAAAACGCGCTGCGGGAGGCGGCAAGCGCCGGGCACAAGGCGCGAATCAAGGTGGCTGGGCTGTGAATTCCTTCCTCCAGCAGACGCATCTTCTCTGCTCTGCTCTCAGCTCATTCTGTCTTCGCATTCCTTCCACCGAAACTTAGTATAATCCCCTGACTGAGTCCATTTTCGCATTTTTTCCTTCACGATATCAACGAAGGATGTTCAGAGAAGCTCTCCTAACGAGCTCTCTAATACGGACTTCAAGCTACAAGCTCCACGGAGCAGTCCGTGCTACATGAAGCCACCGGGCTAGTACAAGGGGAAACACCAGGCATGCAGCAGCGCTGAGGTAGCGTAGAGTAGTTTAGAAGTCGTGGGTGGGGTGGGTTGGGTAGTTTCGAGAGTCGAGCGAGCTGCTTGCGTGCCTTGGTCGGAACCTTGTACGACGCCCTGGGTTGGTTGGTTGTCGCGGCAACACCTTCACCACGATAGCCTTCTCGTGAACTCGTCACAAGAAGATTTTCAGTACGCGGCGAGATCTTCAGTACGTGGCGACATCTTCAGTACGCGACGAGAATGCACGGAGAAATCTTCACGGGGAGAAGCCAAAGCACAAACAGAGCCCAACGACCGGAGCGCCATTCAACCACGTCAGGACCGATGTTGTGTTCGACGGCGTTTCTCCCCGTCCTCCCCGTTGCGGCGCGTCAGCTCTTCACGTCACACCGAAATGAAGAAGCTTTGACGTAAGCTCTTTACAGACTTTGTTATCCTCTTAAGAGGTTTTACATTACACTTCTTCTGCTTCAAAGCTTTGATATTCTTTTCGAATGAATTTTTCTAACGCCTTTTTTTTTTCGCTTTCCCTGCAGACGATCATCTTGCCGCTCTGAAAACCCATCTCGACGCTTCCAAGTCAAAGTCAAGCCCGCATCAAGACTTGAGACCGTCGTCCTCGCCGTTGTGACGCGTGAAGTCTTCACGTTTTCACGAAGAGATGAAGACGCTTGGCGTAAGTGCAGTCTTCTTATTCTAAATAAGCGTTTCGCTCTTTTGAACTCCCTCTGTTTCCAAGCTTTCAATATTTTTTGAAGGAAATTATACTAACGCGTTTTTCGTTGACCCTGCAGGCGACCATCTTGAGAAACCAACGACGTGAGAGGCCAACGACCATCTGAACGTCAAGATCGACGGAACCTTCAATCGACCAAGCTCTCTTAACAACGACGGTAAAGCTCTCACTCAACGACGACGGCGGCGATTTCCGTCACATGGGGACTCTCCCGTCGCGCGGAACTTCACTTTCCGTTTGGCGACGCTTCACTCGAGTCTTAACGATGGAGTTTTTTTCAAGCCTCATCACAATGAACGTAAGTGCGGTTCCGTTTCAAAACTCTTCCACTACCTTTCAATTTTTTATACATCTGCTCTAACTTTTTCGTTATTTCATGCAGATTCAGGGTCCTGCCGCTTCACGACATCGTGATACTTCCATCGTCGCGAGTGGCGCTTCTATCGTCGCAAGCGGCGCTTCCGTCGTCGCGAGGGGATTTCAAGGCATGGTGCTTCCATCATCGCGTGGCGTTAGGCGACGGCGCGTGCCCCTGATGACGGTTCTTCCGTCGCTAGTGCCGCTTTGATTGCCGGATGGTAAGAACGCAATAGTGTTTTCAATATTGATGTTACGTTATTCGTCTTTCTTTCAACAGTTCAGCTAACGCTTCTTCTTTCTTCCTGCAGATGGTGAGGAGACCCTTGGTTGGCGCTTGGCGACGCGTTTTTCCCTTCGCGCGGCTCTTCGCACGGCGGATGGTGGCGAATGCGGCTGATGACAGTTCTTCCGTCGCTAGTGGCGCTTTGATTGCCGGATGGTAAGAACGCGATAACACCACCAGCAGTTTCGATGGCTTTTCAACGGTTATTCGTCCTTTTTTCAACGGTTCAGCTAACGGTTTTCCTTGTTCCTTGCAGATGGTGAGGAGACCCGTCGATGGCGCTTCTCCCGTCGCGCGGTGTTGCTTCGTCCGGGGCATGGCGACGAGTATCCCGTCGCACGGCGTCGCTTCGGCGGGAGCATGGCGACTCTTCACCCGTCGGGCGGCGCTTCGCACCGCGCCGGCGACGCCTCTCAGATTCGTCGTCGTTTTTCGTTTTGTCATCTTCCGTTTTGTTCTCGTTCTTCGGCCTTTCTCACTCGTGGCATGACGTGGTCGATGCGCAGCCAGGAATGAAGAAAGGCCAAGACGTCAACGTCAACGTCAACGTCAACAACCAAGACGACCAAGACGACCAAGACGACCAAGACGACCAAGACGACCAAGACGACCAAGACGACCAAGACGACCAAGACGACCAAGACGACCAAGACGACCAAGACGACCAAGACGACCAAGACGACCAAGACGACCAAGACGACCAAGACGACCAAGACGACCAAGACGACCAAGACGACCAAGACGACCAAGACGACCAAGACGACCAAGACGACCAAGACGACCAAGACGACCAAGACGACCAAGACGACCAAGACGACCAAGACGACCAAGACGACCAAGACGACCAAGACGACCAAGACGACCAAGACGACCAAGACGACCAAGACGACCAAGCCAACCAAGCCGACCAAGACGACCAAGACGACCAAGACGACCAAGACGACCAAGACGACCAAGACGACCAAGACGACCAAGACGACCAAGACGACCAAGACGACCAAGACGACCAAGACGACCAAGACGACCAAGACGACCAAGACGACCAAGACGACCAAGACGACCAAGACGACCAAGACGACCAACAATAGCACCTTTTGACGTAAGCTCGTCGTTTCAGTTAGTTTATTTTTCTCCTTCGCGTTTACTAACTTCCTCTCGTTTTTCCTTGTTTTGTTTAGCAGCAGGAGCGCGGGGGGAGCAGGAACGCGGGGCGTGAGCGGGAGGAAGAACAGCAAATTCCGTGGTAAAAGCCCGAGCGTCTTCCACGGTAAGCAGCGTCTAATTTCGCTCTGCTGCTTCCTCTTCCGGATATCTAACGCCCCTTTCGTGTTCCTCTTAGTGCAGCAGGAGGAGCAGGCAACGCGGCAGCAACTACAGCGAGTGAGGGAGGTAAAGGAGAGCTAGCTCTCTCTCATCTCTTCTCTGGTAAGTACGGTCGAATTCAGTTACGTTGATTCCTTTTCGAAATCTAATGTTTGCTTTAATGTTTGTTGTTTTTAGCGCAGGAGGAGCGTGCGGGAACAACGGAAGCGGGAATGGGAGCTCGCGGGGTCAGCGACGATCAAGGGAGGTAACGCGGGGAGGTGGTCTCCCATGCACGGTAAGTTTCGTCGATTTTCGTTAAGCTTTTTCTTCGTTTATGAAACTAACTTCTCGGTGTGTCCCTTTCTCTTAGCGCAGCGGAAGTGGCGGAAGGGAGCTCGCGGGGGCTGCGGCGAACAAAGGAGGCAAAAGCCCAGGAGCCCAGACGGTAAGAGCCGTCTGCTTTCGTTTCGCTGCTTCCTTTTCCGTGTTCGTGTTCATACTTAATGCCTTTTTCGTGTTCATGTTTGTGTTCTCTTAGTGCAGGAGGAGGAGGAGGCAGCAACGGCAGGAGGAGGAGCGACGACGGGAGAAAGAGCTCTCCCCCTTCTTTCTGAGGTAAGCTAAGTTAAATTTTCAGAATCTCGAGCGTCAATTTCAGCCAAGTCTAATTTTCTTTGTTAAACGTGAATACTAACGTTTGATTTCGTGTTCTTTGTCTTCAGTGCAGGAGCTTGCGGCAACAACGGCAGGAGGAGGAGCGACAACGGGAGAGAAAGCTCTTCCTCTTCTTTCTCTGGTAAGTAGCGTCAGTTTCAGCCAAGTTTTATTCTTTTCGTTAAACATGAATACTAAAGTTTGATTTCGTGTTCTTTGTCTTCAGTGCAGGAGCTTGCGGCGACAACGGCAGGAGGAGGAGCGACAACGGGAGCGAGGGAGCGACAACGGGAGCAAGGGTAAGTCCCGTCGGTTTCATGATCTGTTTTCCGTTTCAAATATTTCATTTTTTTTCTGTTGCTTCCTTCCTGCAGAGCCTGACCGTACGCCGGCGCATGGGAGCACGGCGACACATGGGGACGCGTGGCGACGAATGGCGACGAACGGGGGACGCGCGGCGACGAATGGCGACGAACGGAGACGCGCGGCGACGAATGGGACGCATGGCACGGCGCACGGCGTGTCCCACTGGCGAGGCGCTTCTCTCGGACTTCAGAGTCTGCCGTGGTGTGGTGGTAAGTCTCGTAGGATTCAACTTAGTTTGCTTTCGTCGGTTCTGCTCTTTACCTTTTCAAAGAATCTAACTTATTGATTTGATTTTGTTACTCCTGCAGAGTCTGACCGTCCGCCGGCGCACGGGACGCTTGGGGTGGGGACGCTTGGGAACGCACGGCGACGAATGGCGCGCGACGGCGACGAGATGGCGTGTCTCACGTCGCAAGGGGTCGTCGCAAAAGGACGCTACCAGCAATGCCTCGCTCTGGCAGAGGTAAAGTGTGGACGCGTCTTGGCTGCATATTTTTTACTTGATTTTTCTACGTTCTGACGTGCTGCTTTGCTTTCTTCCTGCAGAGGCTGACGCGCGCGACACACGGCGACAATGGCGACAAACCGGGGACGCGCGGCGACGAACAGAGACAAGCGGCGACGAACGGGGACTCGCGGCGATGAACGGAGACGCGAGGCGGCAATGGAGACGCATGCGGCGCACGGCGTGTCCCACTGGCGAAGGCGCATGTCACGGGCGCACGGCGCTTGGCGGCGCTTCTCTCTGGAGGGTGGCATCGCGTATCGGGCGTGGAACGGGGAGAAGCGGAGGAGCAAGGAGCAAGGAGCGAGGATGGAATTTCACTTCCCCCTCCCATCCCGCCTTTCTGACAGATTTGGTGGGAGCAGGAGCAACCAGCGCAAGCGCCAAGCATGTACAGTAAGAGGGGTGGTGGTGGGTACAGGACGTTTAGGAGCGTGTTAGATAGACTCGATTAGGCACATGCACATGGGCGATGGGATGGGTGGTAATCAGGTGTGCCTCTTGACGGCTGGCCGTTCGTTTGACGGCTGGCTGTCATTCTGACAACGTTCTGACAACAATGGGGAATCGTCCGACCCGAGGTGTGTAACAGGACAGGACGTTTAGGAGCGTTCGATTAGGCACATTCACGGGCGATGGTATGGGTGGTAATCAGGTGTGTATGCCTCTTGACGGCTGGTCGTCCTCTTGGCGGCTGGCCGTCATTCTGACAACATTGTCACAACATTCGTCCGTGTTTATTCATCTGCCCGTCCCTAATTTTCACCATTTCCCCCCTCCCAAGCACTTTCTTCCCCCATTCTCCCTCCCAAGCAGGCCCCACGCGAATGACCCCCACCTCATCGTGGTGCGTGGGTGTAACGTCAGGGGCATTTCCCTCTGACGGCCAAGAGGGGTCAAGAAGACATTCACGCTGCTGCGGAGGCGCTGGAGGGGTCAAGAAGACGTTCAAGCTGCTGTGGAGGCGCTGGCGTGGAGGCTCAAGCGGATCTGTTTACACTTGGCTGAGGGAGCTTAGAAAGCTAGCAGTTCTGACTTGTAACTCTGTATTTGATGGAATTCTGTTTGTACTTTTGAACGCCTTGTACTGTAACAACTTTCGAATGAATACGCACCTGGCACCTTGGACAGAGCCCTGAAGCTGAGATGAAGTGGACACGTGGCTGGCGCCTTGTTTTTTTCAACAAGCCTCGAGCTCCAACACAGTAGCAAGCAGGGCGATACACAGCCGGCTGATTTTGCTGTAATTCTGGTTTGTGTTGCTCTTGTGCAAACGAATCTGCTGAGGGCGCGTATCGTGTGGGAGATGCGGGTTGATGCTTGTGGATGTTTGAGAAGTATGGGATAGGGTAGGCTTGAACTTTCTAGGAGGTGGTGGACGTGGCGCTTTTCTAAATAATATCGAGTATTTGTGTGATTTCGGCGTATGGTGCGGGACGGCGGATAAATAGTTAGGAAATTCCTGCGTAGCGCGAAAAAATCGCATTTGTTTCGCCCCTCCGAACCTCAATTGGGCAGCTGGAAACACAAATTAAATTCTGAAGGAATTTTCGCGAACCAATAGATATGAAGAGTGTTTCCACAGCAGCACGGACAGAATGTTTTCCGTCACCCCAGGCATTGAACCGACCTCACAATTTCTGACCTATACTGTACCTAACTCTTCTCATTCGTCATATTCCAGTTTTACCGTTAGATCGAAGCTGCGACGATTTCTCGCACCACCGTACATCTCGCTACCCTCGCTTACTGATTTTTGGAGGCAAAAGCAGTAGTTAATTTTCATTGCAGTAGCTAGTCTCGATCGCGCGCCTCAGTCCTACTTCAGCGTTCGCCGCTTCACACATTTAGTGCGGTGCTGCTAGCGCCGAAGGTACTGTTAGCTGCTCTCCAGATTTGCAACAGTTATCGTATCTGTCGTTTTTTTTTTAAGATCTGACGAGCTCCTGTATCTATCTACCTGTACTGCTAAGGTTTGACGATTTTTAAGCTCCTGTATTTATCTTCGTTTGGAAAATTATCGACCATTCGCGGACACATTCGTAACGCTTCCTTCAAGACATTTGCCACGTCTTTGTGAAGACTTATCATGCAAACACATGACACGATCTATGGCGCATGCGAACACATGACACGATCTAAGGCGCATGCGAACACATGACACGATCTATGGCGCATGCGAACACATGACACGATCTAGGACGCATTAGCGTCACCTTTGCGCAAAACAGTGGAAAGGGGAATCCTGGGTGGGAAGGGGAGGGGTAAGGGAGCGGAAGGGAGATGAACTAGTGAAAATATAAAAGGGAAGGACTTAGAAGCGGAGTGGCATCTTTCCCCGGATTTCCCCTTTTCCCTTCCCGCGCTTCCGTCCCCCTCCCTCCCCTTGTTCCCCCGACCTTGCCTAGAAACGTCACGCATCCCGCATCCCCCACTCAAATCCCTGCTCCCCTCTCTCTCCCCCACTCTCCCCTCATTTTCCCGCATTCCCTCTCTCCCCTCAAATCCCCGCTCTCCCCTCGTCTCCCCCACTCTCCCCTCATCTTCAGCGCTCTCCCCCCATCTTCAGCGCTCTCCCCCCATCTTCAGCGCTCTCCCCCCATCTTCAGCGCTCTTCCCCCATCTTCAGCGCTCTTCCCCCATCTTCAGCGCTCTTCCCCCATCTTCAGCGCTCTCCCCTCATTTTCTGTGCTCCTTCATCATCTCCCCGGCTCTCCCCATCCCCCCCTCTCCCTCCCCTCCCACCGTACCCCCACCCACCCGTCATCTTCCCCCAATTCCCACGGCCTAACCATCCCTCATCCCCCCACGCCCTCCCCTCCCCTTTGTCCCGCTCACCCTTATCAACCCCACCTCATTACCTTCTCCCATCCATCACCTCTCTCCAGACCCTTCCCCATTCCCACATTCCCAACCCACATTCCCCCTCCGCTCACCCTTCATCTCCTCATTCCCATCCACCTCTCTCTCCAGACCCTCCCCCATCCCCCCCCCCCCCCCCCCCCCCCCCTCCCCTGCTTTCTCTCCTGCCCCTCCTTTCCATCCATCGTTCCCCCATGCCCCTGCTTACACCTGACTCCTGAGTCGCCCCATGCCCCCCCTCCGCCCTCCTCCTCCCGATCCCGCCCCACACACGTGCCCCGCTGCTCCTCCGTGCCTACTGCAGCCCTGTCGCAGGTTCGGGTGCCTGCCGGACCTCCAGGCTCGGCACGACGCTCGGGCGCACGGTCCAGTGAGTGGCAGGTGCAAGGTTCGGTTGGCGGAAAGAGCCACGTGGAGGGCTGGAGCACATTGAATGCCACGTGGGCGGCTGGTGGGGCTGCTGCGAGCGAGTCAGATGGGGAGAGCAGCAGGAGGAGGAGGAATGTGTGTGTGCTCTCCCCACATACCGAGCTCAGGAACACCAGAAGAGGCAGCAGCGGCGACATGGGCACTACCTGCACTGCACTCCACCCTCGCCCCCTCCGCCCCCCCTGACATGGCCACTACCTGCACCCCACCCTCGCCCCCCCCTGCTGTCCGCCGCCGCCAAACCACTCCCACCAACCGCCCCTCCGACGACGCCGCCTCTTCCCCTTCCTCCTCCTCCTCCTGCTCCCCCTCTGGCGCGCATCCCGCTGCCCCCGCGCCCCCAACGCGCCCGCTTCCTTGAGAGCCCCCCTCTCCCCCAGCTGGCCCTTCCCCCTGCCCCCCCGCACGCCCTCTGCAGCGGACCTGCCCTCCCCCGCCGCTCGGAGGCACCTGGTCAAGTTCGGGCTGCTGGAGGCACTGTGACAGGCGGCTGGGCAGCTCAGGCTGCTTGCTGGAGGCGCCGTGGGGCCGATGAGCACGTTTGATGCACCGTGAGGGTCACCTGGGCAAGCTCAGGCTGCTTGCTGGTCCCCACACCTCCCCTCCTGCTGTTCAGCTTCACCACCCCTCCTGCTGCTCAGCTTCACCACCCCTCCTGCTGCTCAGCTTCACCACGCCTCCTGCTGCTCAGCTTCTCAACACTCCCATCACAAGGCACGGGCATGAGTGGAGAGGCACGAATCGTCAGCAGCTGCATCAGCAGCACACAATTCATTGGCCATGAAATGAATCCTCGCCATCCGACAACAGTGTTACTCACACCTAGAGTATCCGCCCCAAGGAACTGTTCTTCTTCCAGCAGTGTCCGGGTTAGGGCATGTTCCTACGGGCCTGTTATCAGGCTCTCGTCAAAACACACTGAAAATTCCCTAAACCCTCGCTTCTTTTACCAGGCAATGCTGACAAGAGGTTTGCCTGATGAGTAGGAACATGCCCTTGCCAGGGGCTGCTGGAAGTTCCCTCTCACTGCTCTACAACACCTGATACTGATGCTAATCCTTGTGTTACCCCCTATAGTGTTGCCATTGAGGTGTTTTTTACAGCAAAAACAATATATTCGTGTGGAATGTGATGCTGCAGTGTGAAAAGTGAACTGTACATATGGTATCTCATACCACTGACATCTACCGTATGATCTACGGTACAAGGAACTGGCATCGAAGACGGCGGAGGTTCTGCTGCTACTCTACCACAATCCACCATGCCATGATTCGAATGTTCACCCATCGCGTCCCATACGCACCCTCCCCGCATCCCTCCCTGCGCATGAAATTTAACTACCACGGTACTGTACATGCATCGTTTAGCTTTAGTGCACGTAGTAGTGTAAACAACCGTCAGGTTGACTTCACATCATGTGTTTTGGTGAATGTGCCATGCCCTAGCCCCATCATCAGAGCCTCTCTTCAGCAGCGCCAGTCCCCTGACTGGAAAGGGTACACACACACACACACACACACACACACACGCACACACACACACACACACACACACACACACACACACACACACACAAAATGGTGTATCCAGACTGAAAGTATGCAGTAGCACAAGGTTAATGATTGCTTAATACAGTACCCTAAAGTCAGTACAGGACCGGATCCCATGCACCAGAATGAAGGAAAAACCTCCTCAGCATTGCGGGCGTGAGGAAAGAGCTCGCTACAAGCCACGGCACACACCCCTACACCTCCACTCCGCCACCCCTCCTCTGTCCCTTCTTGATTCATTCTTTCTTGCCTTACCATCGTGCTCCACCTCCCAACGGCTGCCCACCTTCCAAATGACATGAAAGATGGCATGCCACACCAAGCGATGCCACACCATGCGATGCCACACCATGCGATGCCACACCATGCGATGCCACACCATGCGATGCCACACCATGCGATTCCACACTACAGTACCACAATTTGACATACCACAGTCGGAGAAGCCATGATATACCATGCAACCCTGGTACATACCACGCAACAACATGCCACACCATATAACACCACAGTTAAAACTTACCACAGAACGAGACACCCAATTATTCCACACCACACAATCACATACCACACTACTATGGCATACCACACTATAGCATACCACACTATAGCATACCACACTATAGCATACCACACTATAGCATACCACACTGGAGCATACCACACTGTAGCATAACACCCTATGGCATACCACACTATAGCATACCACCCTATGGCATACCGCATTATAGCATACCACACTATAGCATACCACCCTATGGCATACCACACTATAGCATAGCATACCACACTATAGCATACCACAGTGCAGCAGTAGGAGCAGCAAACAGCCCACTCCCTTTCGAAAACAGCACCCCCAGGGGCTGTGCCTTGTGAGGCGAGGTGTGGCAGTGAAAAATCGCTTCCAGCCCAAGACTCAAATCCCACCCCTGACGTAGCCAGAGCTGACGCGAACCAGAGCCGCCGGCCGGTCGGCTCTGACGGTGTCCATTAGGCCTTGAACGCCAGATCGGTTACTTGAGCACCGAGTGCCGTGCCGCGCAGATTCCACCCACCACACCCCACCACCACAAGGCACAACCCCAGAGGATGCTGCCCCTCAGAGAGTGAACTCCCCGCTTGCTCCCATGCCCCCCCCTCCCCCACCCCACACTTCACCCCCATGCCTCCTTACCTCTCCTTACCTGCACTTACCAGAGCCATGCAGAGCGCCATGATGCTGAGGCTGCTGGGAAGTGGAGAGACAAGAGGGGGGATTAGGGAAGGGCCAAACTCCACTGTGGTCCCGGCAGGGTGCTGCTGGGAAGGACGGGAAAAGGGAGAGAGGAGGAGGTGAGTGAGAGGGTGGACTCCACTCTCCCACCCTTGCGACAGCGCTCCCACCTTCAGCCTGCAGGGGAGAACAGTGTGAGGGAGAGGAGGGGATCAGCTTACCATACCTCACCTGTTACCACACCTCACCTGGTACCATACCTCAGCTAAATCTAACCTAGCCTGCCCTCCAGCCCCTACTGCTGCTGCTGCCGCTGCTGCTGCTGCTACTGCTGCTGTCGGTCTGCTACCCTGCTTTCCCTGCTGCTGCCGCTGCCCCTCCCATCCCTTCCGCTACTGCCCGGCTGCTGCCCCCTCGCCGCCCTGCTACAGCCTTCAATGCACTGGGAGGGAGGGGAAAGGAAGGGAGGCAAGGGAGCAAGGGACAGTAGTGAGAATGGGGAGAAGGGCAGGCAGAAGCCTGAAAGCAAGGAGAGAGCAAGTAAAACGAGCATCTAGAGAAACAAGGCAGCAGCATTAGGGAAAGAGGGAAAAGAGGCTCACCTTGTTCCAAACGACCCAAGCCCGATACTCTCCCTTCCCACCCCAGCCGAGTGGAGTGCTGCCCCCCTCCCTTCCCACCACTGCCACCTGCACGACCACAAGGGAGGAGCGCAAGGGAGCGGCGGTGTTGACCCCCACGCCCCTCCCCTCAATAAGGAAGAGAGAACAGAAGAGAAGTAAGTATGCAGCTAGGGGTAGAAATGTGAGAGCAGTGCAAAGGTGGGGTGGGGTGGGATGGGTTGGGATGGCAGGTGAGAACAAAGAAGGGGGCGACTGGTGAAGCCTCAGCTACAAGCCACAGATCCAAGGGGGGTACACACCTGGGAGGCTTCCCACCACACTTGGTCACACGTGGTCACACTTGGTCACACTTGGTCACACGTGGTCACACTTGGTCACACGTGGTCACACTTGGTCACACTTGGTCACACGTGGTCACACGTTGTCACACTCGGTCACACGTGGTCGCACGTGGTCACACTTTGTCACAAGTAGGTCACACGTGGTCACACGTGGTCACACTTGGTCACACTTGGTCACACTTGGTCACACGTGGTCACACTTGGTCACACTTGGTCACAGGTGATCACACGTGGTCACACATGGTCATACGTGGTCACACGTGATCACACATGGTCACACTTGGTCACACTTGGTCACACGTGGTCACACGTGGTCACACGTGGTCACACTTGGTCACACGTGGTCACACTTGGTCACACGTGGTCACACTTGGTCACACGTGGTCACACGTGGTCACACGTGGTCACACTTGGTCACACTTGGTCACACGTGGTAACAAGTGGTCACACTTGGTCACACGTGGTCACACTTGGTCACACTTGGTCACACGTGGTCACACTTGGTCACACGTGGTCACACTTGGTCACACGTGGTCACACGTGGTCACACGTGGTCACACGTGGTCACACGTGGTCACACGTGGTCACACGTGGTCACACGTGGTCACACGTGGTCACACTTGGTCACACTTGATCATACGTAGTCACCCTTGGTCACACTTGGTCACATGTGGTCACGCATGGAAACACGTGGTCACACTTGGTCACACGTGGTCACACTTGGTCACAAGTGGTCACACGTGGTTACGCGTGGTCACACGTGGTCACACGTGGTCACACGTGGTCACACTTGGTCACACGTGGTCACACTTGGTCACACGTGGTCACACTTGGTCACACGTGGTCACACTTGGTCACACGTGGTCACACTTGGTCACACTTGGTCACACGTGGTCACACATGGTCACACGTGGTCACACATGGTCATACTTGGTCACACATGGTCACACGTGGTCATACGTGATCACACGTGGTCACACGTGGTCATACATGGTCACACGTGGTCACACTTGGTCAGACGTGATCACAAATTGTCACACGTGATCACACATGGTCACACTTGGTCACACATGGTCACATGTGGTCACACATGGTCATACTTAGTCACACGTGGTCACACTTGATCACACGTGGTCACATTTGGTCTCACGTGGTCACACGTGGTCACACTTGGTCACACGTGGTCACACTTGGTCACACGTGATCACACGTGGTCACACTTGGACACACGTGGTCACACTTAGTCACACGTGATCACACGTGGTCACACTTCGACATACATGGTCACACTTGGTCACACTTGGTCACACTTGGTCATGCGTGGTCACACGTGGTCACACTTGGTCACACGTGGTCACACGTGGTCACACGTGGTCACACGTGGTCACACGTGGTCACACGTGGTCACACGTGGTCACACGTGGTCACACGTGGTCACACGTGGTCACACTTGGTCACACGTGGTCACACTTGGTCACACTTGGTCACACTTGGTCACACTTGGTCACACTTGGTCACACTTGGACACACGTGGTCACACGTAGTCACACGTGGTCACACTCGGCACACGTGGTCACACGTGGTCATCCTTGGTCACACGTGGTCACACGTGGTCACACTTGGTCACACGTGGTCACACGTGGTCACACGTGGTCACACGTGGTCACACTTGGTCACACTTGGTCACACTTGGTCACACTTGGTCACACTTGGTCACACTTGGTCACACGTGGTCACACGTGGTCACACTTGGTCACACGTGGTCACACTTGGTCACACTTGATCACACTTGGACACACGCGGTCACACGTAGTCACACGTGGTCACAATTGGTCACACATGGTCACATGTGGTCATACTTTGTCACACGTGGTCACACGTGGTCACACTTGGTCACACTTGGTCACACTTGGTCACACTTGGTCACAATTGGTCACACTTGGTTTCAAGTGGTCACACGTGGTCACACGTGGTCACACGTGGTCACACTTGGTCACACATGGTCACACGTGGTAACACTTGGTCACACTTGGTCACATGTTGTCATACTTGGTCACACGTGGTCACACTTGGTCACACGTGGTCACACTTGGTCACACGTTGTTAAACTTGGACACACGTGGTCACACGTGGTCACAATTGATCACACGTGGTCAAACATGGTCACACTTGGTCACACGTGGTCACACTTGGTCACACGTGGTCACACTTGGTCACACGTGGTCACACGTGGTCACACGTGGTCACACGTGGTCACACTTGGTCACACGTAGCCACACGTGGTCACACGTGGTCACACGTGGTCACACGTGGTCACACGTGGTCACACGTGGTCACACTTGGTCACACGTGGTCACACTTGGTCACACGTGGTCACACTTGGTCACACGTTGTCACACATGCTCACACGTGGTCACACGTGGTCACACTTGGTCACACGTGGTCACACTTGGTCACACTTGGTCACACGTGGTCACACTTGGTCACACGTGGTCACACGTGGTCACACTTGGTGACACGTGGTTACACTTGGTCACACGTGGTCACATGTGGTCTCACGTTGTCACACTTGATCACACACGTGGTCACACTTGGTCACATTTGGTCACATGTGGACACACTTGGTCACATGTGGTCACACGTACTCACACGTGGTCTTACTTGGTCACACGTGGTCACACGTGGTCACACGTGGTCACACGTGGTCACACTTGGTCACACTTGGTCACACGTGGTCACACGTGGTCACACTTGGTCACACTTGGTCACACGTGGTCACACTTGGTCACACGTGGTCACACATGGTCACACATAATCACACGTGGTCACACTTGGTCACACGTGGTCACACTTGGTCACGTGGTTACACATGGTCAGACGTGGTCACACTTGGTCACACTTGGTCACACGTGGTCACACTTGGTCACACGTGGTCACACTTGGTCACACGTGGTCACACGTGGTCTCACGTTGTCACACTTGATCACACACGTGGTCACACTTGGTCACACTTGGTCACACGTGGTCACACTTGGTCACACGTGGTCACACGTGGTCACACGTGGTCACACTTGGTCACACGTGGTCACACGTGGTCACACTTGGTCACACTTGGTCATACGTGGTTACACTTGGTCACGCATGGTCACACGTGGTCACCTGTGGTCACACGTGGTCACACGTGGTCACACGTGGTCACACGTGGTCACACGTGGTCACACTTGGTCACACTTGGTCACACGTGGTCACACTTGGTCACACGTGGTCACACGTGGAAACACGTAGTCACACGTGGTCACACTTGGTCACACTTGGTCACAAATGGTCACACGAGGTTACACGTGGTCACACTTGGTCACACGTGGTCACACGTGGTCACACTTGGTCACACGTGGTCACACTTGGTCACACTTGGTCACACGTGGTCACACTTGGTCACACGTGGTCACACGTGGTCACACTTGGTCACACTTGGTCACACGTGGTCACACTTGGTCACACTTGGTCACACTTGGTCACACGTGGTCACACGTGGTCACACTTGGTCACACTTGGTCACACGTGGTCACACGTGGTCACACGTGGTCACACTTGGTCACACTTGGTCACATGTGGTCATACACACATCATTGTTACACTTACCGCCCTCTTCGCTCTTATTTTACTCACTCGCCTTTGCTGCTTTACTCAACATCCTCCCCACTCCCCTTCTTCTCCTTCATACCCTGTCCTCTCATCCCCCTCCTCCCTTCTGTTATCTGTCCCAATATGCCTCCCCTCCTCCCAGCAGGTTGCTCACACAGAAGTGGCAGTGGCGGGGGACATGGAGTGCACATTCAGCAGCTGCTCTCCACCCAACCCACCCACAGCTAAGTACCCCGCCCTTTCTCTGTAAACATGTGCTGCCCTCTGTCACACCCAAGAGACCTGAACCTTCCTTCAAACCTGAGCCTCTGGTCGTGCTACAACTTCAAGCCGCAGACCCCTTTTTTTTGGTAAACCACCCCAGGTACAGGTATCCTCTCAGGTTAAGCCTCGCTTTGAGTCTGTGGCTTGTAGCTGAAGCTGCACCAGTGGCCCCCTTTCCTGCTGTTACCTGCCACCCCACCCAACCCATGCACACCCTTCACCTTGTTCCCTCTAGCATGGCAGCAGCGGAGGGGTGGGGAGGGGCAGCGGCAGCAGCAGGGGAAGCAGAGTCGCAGACCGGGAGTGGCAGTGACGGCTGACATGGAGTGCACAGGCAGCAGCTGCTCTCCACCCAACCCACCCACAGCTAAGTACCCCGCCCTTCCTCTCTTCTCCCAACCCTTTCACTGTGTTGCTTTAAATGTCATGCTTGCACCATGTGCATTGCACTCCCTTTTTCACTGCTCTCAGTCCCACCCATAAGACCTCCCTCCCACAAGGTAGTAGGTAATTCTTTCTTGGTACAGCCTCAGGTATTTGTTTTAGTTTGGTTCAGCTGGTACGAGGTCTCTTGGGTGTGCCACTGCAGCAGTCCATTCATGCACGCATCATGCTTGCGCTTGCTGCACTCTTCACTTTCACTTGTCTTGGCTTCTTTCCTCACTACTCTCTCCACTCCTCTGCGCCCCTTTCACTCCCCCGTTTTCCTCCCCCCCTCCTCCCTTTTTCTCTCTCTCCCGATCTGCCCTCTTCTGGTCCCAGCAGGTCGCTCACACGGGAGTGGCAGCGGCGGCTGACATGGAGTGCAACAGCAGCTGTGCTCCTCCCAACCCACCCACAGCTAAGTACCCCGCCTTGTGTCTAATCTCCCAACTTTCGCTCGCGCTGTTGCTAAACCACTACAGGTACAGATAGTATTCTCTCAGGTTAAGCCTCCCTTGGTATATAGCCCCTTGGGGTCTGTGGCTTGTAGCTGAAGCTGCACCAGTGGCCCCCTTTCCTGCTCTCACCCCACCCGACCCCTCCCATGCACACCCTTCACATTGTTACCCCTAGCCGCTTGCTCACTTTCCTTCAGTTTTCTCCTTGCAGGCGGAGGGGAGGGGCGTAGGGGTCAACACCGCCACTCCCCCGCACCCCTCCCCTTGTGGCCGTGCAGGTGGCAGTGGTGGGAGGGGAGGGGGGCAGCTTTCCACTCGGCTGGGATGGGATGGGAGAGTATTGGGATGTGGTCGTCTGGAACAAGGTGAGCCTCTTTTCCCTCGTGCACTCATGCTGCTGCTTGGTCTTCTCTGCATGCTCACTTCATATTTTTTGCTCCCTCCCTGCCTCATGCTTGCTGCTTCCCCATTCTCACTGCTTTCCCTTGCTCCCTGTTTCCTTCCCTCTCCCTCCCTCCCAGTACATTGAAGGCTGTAGCAGGGCAGCAGGAGGCAGCAGTAGGGCAGCAGCAGGGCAGCAACAGGGTAGTAGGGGGCAGCAGGAGGGCAGCAGATGTGGGGAGGAGAGGGGCAGCGGCAGATGAAGGGGAAGCAGTGTAGCAGACCGACAGCAGCAGTAGCAGCAGAAGTGTCAACAGCAGCAGTGGGGTCTGGGGGGCTATAGGGCAAACTTGGTGTGGTATGGTTCAGGTGTGGTATGGTACAGGTGTGGTATGGTGCAGGTGTAGTATGGTGCAGGTGTGGCATGGTACAGGTGTGTTATGGTAAGCTGATCCCCTCCTCTCTCACACTGTTCTCCGCTGCAGGCTGAAGGTGGGAGCACTGGAGCAAGGGCGGGAGAGTGGAGTCCACCCTCTCACTCACCTCCTCCTCTCTCCCTTTTCCCTTCCCTCCCAGCAGCACCCTGCCTGGACCACAGAGGAGTCTCTCCCTCCCCTAATCCCTCCTTCTCTCTCCACTTCCCAGCAGCCTCAGCATCATGGCGCTCTGCACGGCTGTGGTAGGTACAGGTGAGTAGGCATGGGGGTGAAGTGTGGGGTGGGTGGGGGGGGGGAGCATGGGAGCAAGCGGGGAGTTCACTGCCTTAGGGGCAGCATCACCTGGGGTTTTGCCTTGTGGGTCGGGGTGTGGTGGGTGGAACCTGTGCGGCACGGCACTCGGTGCTCAAGTAACCGATCTGGCGTTCAAGGCCTAATGGACACCGTCAGAGCCGACCGGCCGGCGGCTCTGGTTCGCGTCAGCTCTGGCTACGTCAGGGGTGGGATTTGAGTCTTGGGCTGGAAGCAACTTTCCACTACCACACGTCGCCCCACAAGGCACCGCCTGTGGGGGTGCTGTTTTCCTGAGTGGGCTGTCTGCTGCTCCTATTGCTAGCAGGTAATGGTGGTGAGGGCCTGGGTGGGTGAGAGAGAGAAGGGGCCTGACTCCCCTTGGATGGGTGAGAGAGAGAAGGGGCCTGAATACCCTGGGTGGGTGAGAGAGGGAAGGGGCCTGACTCCCCTTGGGTGGGTGAGAGAGGGAAGGGGCCTGAATACCCTTGGGTGGGTGAGTGGGAAGAGAAGGGCTGAAACCACTTGGGTGGGTGAGTGGGAAGAGAAGTGACTGAAACCCCTTGGGTGGGTGAGTGGGAGAGAAGGGGCTGAAACCCCTTGGCTGGGTGAGTGGGAGAGAGAGAGGGATGGGGGCTGAATCCCCCAAAGTGGGTGAGTGTGAGCGAGTGATTGGCCTGTCTTTCCTGGCAGTCGTGGAAGGGAAGGGTGCTGAAGCTTAGTGTGGTGTGGTATAGTGTGGTTTGCTCTTATGTGGTGTGCTATAGTGTGGTGTGCTTTTGTGTGGTGTGCTATATTGTGGTGTGCTATAGTGTGGTGTGCTATATTGTGGTGTGCTATAGTGTGGTGTGCTATATTGGGGTGTTTTGTGCTATAGTGTGGTATGCTTCAGTGTGCTGTTTTTAAGTGTGGTGTGCTTTAGTGTGGTGTGCTATAGTGTGGTCTGCTATATTGTGGTGTGCTGTAGTGTTGTATACAGAGAGTGGTGCTGTATTGTGGCATGCTATAGTGTGGTGTGCTGCAGTGTGGTATGATGTAGTGTGGTCTGCTATAGTGTTGAATGCTGTAGTGCTGTATGCAATAGAGTGGCATGCTGTATTGTGGTATGCGACAGTTTGGTATGCTACAGTGTGGTATGGTATAGTGTGGTTTGCTGTTGTGTGGTATGCTGTAGTGTGGCGTGTCATTGGCAGCAGGCGGGTCAGCAGTGGGAGGCGGAGCACGATGGAAGGCAAGCAAGGCTGAATCAGGAAGGAACAGAATGGGGTGGAGGAGTGGATGCGTATGGCATGTGGAGATTGCTCTGCTTGATCCCGCAATGCTGAGGGGGGCTTGCTTCTTTATCGCATAGGATCTGGTTCTGTACAGAGCTTTGGGAACGAAGCAGATCCTTGGCACTAGTGTACATTTGTGTTGCTGGATAAGTTGTCTTACCATTACCATTTCATCGGTACCCTCTCCTGCCCCGCTTGCTGAACAGAGGTGGAACATGGTGCAGCATCTTCCAGTAAGCTTGATATGTTGCAGTACAGTGGCTTATAGCGTTGGTTGGCTTTGATGTGCTAACTTTTCTTCTCACTTCCATGGTTTGAGTCAGGGTTCCTGGATCTTGCACCTAACCTGAGTTCCTTGACTTGAAAACATTAGCTAGGCACAGATTATGAAAGTGCGAAAGGATTGGCTGGGACATGCAAGAGATTTGGGGAATGCAGGGCTTGGGTGAATCAAAGCTGAAGGGGTTGGAGGAGAGAGAATACGGAAATGCGAAGTTGGGAGATATGAACTTTAGTGTACTTAGTCTTCTCTGCTAGACCTCACTGGCGAGGACAAGCGTGGGGTTCTTGTGCGAGCGAAATCCGGCTTCACGCATTCTCGCGAAAAAGCAAAAGCATATCCCCAGCTTTTCTACGACAACCAATCACTGTCCGTCTTACACCACACTTTGCTCCTCTCAAGTTTGTGGCTCTGGTAGCCTCGTTTCACAACCTGGCAGTTCGGTCACCTTTGGAGCGCCCTCAAAGCTACGAAGACCAGAATCTTTGCTTCGGCAACCCCAAACCTCCCCTGTCACTGGCTTACCTGCCCCTCCGTAATAGCGGCTTGCCGAACCTCCGCAAAGCACATGGACGCCCAAACCTGTCTGAGTTTGTCAGCAAGGACAGCAACGGGGCGAGCCAGTAGGTCCGACATGGATTCTTCCCTTGAGGTGACGAGATTAGGGTTTGATGCAGCAGCCTGCCGCCATAGATTGTACACAACCACAACCACAACCCACTCTGCGACTTTCTGTTGGGAACCCTCTGCATTCTGTGGCTCTTGTTCGTTTAGCTCTGGCTAGGGGGAGGTTACGGAGACGTATTCTCGATGCAACGCTGGTCCTGACGCGGTCCCTGGAGGTGTGCAGGGCTGACCGCTCAACAGCCTACCTCCCTTCAAGCTGAGGATCTGTGCTGCTTTTCTATGAGGCCATGGTTAGCAAAACGGTTTTCCATTTCTTCTTCTATTGTCACGGCTCGCGGCGTAGCTGCGTTGAGGTTCAGCGATGGTTGCATCTGCGTTGAGCGTGGAAGGTCCAGTAGGCCTCGCGACGACTGTGCAGCAGCCTAGCAGACCGCCGCTCTTGGGCTCGTTTGCGAGCAACCACCAGAGCTCAGTAGGACCGGGAAACGGGAAAAGGATGAATGGGCTTATGGAGGGAAACCAGGCGAACCAGCCGCCTCCGTTTCTAATAAAGACGTACGATATGGTAGAAGACCCGACGACGGACCATATAGTGTCGTGGAGTAGTGGTAACAACAGTTTCGTCGTGTGGAACCCTCCCGAGTTCGCCAGGGACCTCCTGCCGAAGTACTTTAAGCACAACAACTTCTCGAGCTTCGTCCGCCAATTAAACACTTACGTACGGCTTACCTTCTCTTGCCTGGTCGTGCATTCGCCTTGGATTTCTTTAGCCCCCTGTTGTGCTCCATTGGACTTCTTGTTAACGCGTAAGCTCTTTTCCCGTTATCTTACTATTCTTCGTTCCAGGCAAAGACAGTTAGTTGCCGTAGAGTGGTCCTGCTTTTAGGCCGTGCAGAGTGGTTGTGGGACTCATCTTCAGTTTGTTCATTCCCCCCACGGCCCGCTTCGTTAATGTTACCCAGGGGTTTCGCAAGGTGGATCCAGACCGATGGGAGTTCGCCAACGAGGGTTTTCTGCGAGGCCAGCGGCACCTCCTTCGCACAATCCAGCGTCGCAAGCCCGCGTCGCAGACCGGAGCCGCGGCAAACTCCCCTCTCCCCCACATCCATCCTCACTCTCCCGCGTCGCTCCACGGGGCGCTCCCCGTCCCCGCGTCGCCCAGCCTAGTCGAGGTCGGCAAGTTCGGCCTAGAAGGCGAGGTGGAGAGATTAAAGCGCGACAAGAACGTTCTCATGCTTGAACTCGTGCGGCTGCGGCAGCAGCAGCAGCAGCAGGCGAGCACGATGCAGGTGATGGAGCAGCGCGTGGCGATGAACGAGCAGCGGCAGCAGCACATGATGACGTTCCTCGCCAAGGCCGTTCAGAACCCCGCGTTCCTCGCGCAGCTGATGCAGCACCAGACGGACCACGCGAAGCGCACGCACGCGCACGCCGCCATGGGGCGCAAGAAGCGGCGCATCTCCAAGCAGGACGGCGGAAACTCCCCGCCGTCTGGGTCCTCCTCCCCCAGTCTGCACCCGGAAGGGCAGATCATCGCGTTCTCCCCCGCCGCAGCGGATCCTTCTATGTTCCTTCTAGAGCAGTTCTTTCCGGGTATGACCCACCCCAGTATGACCCACCCCGGCATGACCCACCCGGGTATGCCGCACGCGGGCGCGTTGGGGGTCGACGCGTCGCTGGATCCTTTCCTCCACGACCTCGCCGCTGCCGCCGCCGCCGCAGGCTCGTCGCAACCACTCCCGCCGCGCCCTTCCACTGTGACCCTCACGGAAATGAACGTTCCTCCTGAGGGAAGCTTTCCTCCCAGCTCTTCCTATCCTGCTACTGCTGCTGCTACAGCAGCTGCTGCGGTTGCGTCCACCGCTGCTGCCACCGCAGCTGCCGCTGCCCCTGCCTCTGCCGCGGCTACCGCCGCAGCCACTGCAGCTGCAACTGCCGCCGCTGTTGCTGCTGCCGCTGCGGCCGCTTCTGCTGCGTCTGCTCCGTCAAGTGCGGCTGCTGCAGCAGCACCCACCGCCAGCTCACACTCTCACCCTCATACTGCTGCTGCCTTAGTGGGAAGCACTGCAGCCGCCACTGCACCCGCAGCAGCGCCGCTAGCAATGCCGGTTCCCACCCCTCACCCTGGCATTCCCCGGCCCTTCCCCATGCCGTTCACTCCCCTCCCCATGACCTACCCCCCTTCCCACCCCACCGCCGCCGCCGCTGCCGCCGCCGCTGCAGCAGCAGCAGCAGCAGCAGCAACAGCGGCAACAGCGGGAAGCGGATACCGCGCTGTGGCGCCAATGGTGCCTACTCCCCCGGCGTACCCCCCCGTGCTGCCCCCCCCTCCCCCTGGCATGGACCTGTCGCAGAGTCTGCTGGTACACGGCGCAAAAATCAGCCCTCTAGGCATGCCCACCCCCTACAGCGCTGCTACCGCCCCCATGCTGCACCCATACCTCCCCGTGCACGCCTCAGCCCCTGCCAACGCCTCTGCTAGCACTACTGCCACTCCCGCTTCTAATCCCGCTGCCAATGCCCCGCTCGCTGCCAGCGCTAGCGCCACAGGCTCTGCTGCCTCTCTCGCCCACAATTGCCCTGCTTCTGCGGCTGTATCTGGGGCGGGTGTTTCTGCTCCGGTTGTTGAGACAAAGGTGCCGGTGGCCTTGGCTGTCCCTAGTGTAGCGACAGGAGAGGCGTCAGGGGCGGGTGAAAGCAGCAGTGCAGCAGGCGGGGCAGTGTCCAGTGGGAAAGCGCGTGGAGACGTGGTGGGGGCCGGAGCAGGGGAGATGGTGAGAGAAGCAGGAGTGGTTGGGGGAGGAGGGGTTGGGGAAGGGGTGGGAGGGGAGGGTATGGGGGAAGGCATTGGGGAGGGGGATGGGTTGGATCTGGAGGGTACGGGGGGCTTTAATGATTCCTTCTGGCAGCAGTTTCTCAGTGTGGCGCCGGGGGAGGGGGAGGGAGAAGGGGAGGGCGGAGGGGAGGGGGATGGGGAGGGCGGTGTGGGGGATTTGAATGTGGATGAGCTGGCAAGGGGGGTAGAGGGGTCGCTCGAGGGAGAGGAAGGGAGGTAGTGGCATGTGCATTACACAGTGCTACCGTGTACCTTGTGTATTGAGTGAGTGCGATAATTTTTATTTTTGACTGTGCTGAGGAGATGTGCGTAGGAGTAAAATCTGATTTGATCCAACTGGTTGTAACACCTCCTGGGTCGAAACGACAGGCTGCTTGGTTGTGTGGGGGTCGAATTCCCATCATGCATGTGTCCTCTTCTTCGTACCTGCTCTGTTCCTACCTTTTCATGTCTCTGCCAGTCATTCTGGCGTGAATGGTGCCTTGGTGCTTGAAAATTTGGGTACAACATTTACTCGTACGGTACATTTCTTCCAAAGATGCAGTGTGAGGCATGTGCAGTAGTATGAAGTATTCTAGGCAAATTAATAAGTGTTGTATTAGTGGTGCTTATTTTCAAGTTTGCCTAGAAGTTTCTATTCCCATATGACTGCACCAAGAGGAAGTCCTAAAACTCTGTCTGGATTCGGAGTGTTTATTCCTTAACTCATAAGTACTATAGCGAGAACCAGGTAACCCTCAAGAGTGGCCAAGGTGCAGGGCACGAACAATCAGGGCGATTCTTTCGCTGATCATCTGACTAGTGAAGTTTCATTTGAACGACGCCTTCTGTCCCTTCGCAGCCTTTCGCAAATCCTGCAATTCTCTGCGAACTGTCCTCCGTGGGCGTCGTGAACCTGTGCGACGCGTCAGAGCGTGGTCACTGGTTTCTTGAAACCTCCTCCTTCGACGCGCTTCGGTAATTTCCCACGTCGCGCACGAACATTGCCCCAGCGAGGGCCCACCTTCCTCTGACGCAATTCCACATCCAAGTTCCATTCCATCCAACCCTCCCTAGTCTGCTCCAGCAGAGTTCGTGCCAGGGTGAATTCAGCGTCGCACGAAGATAGGGCCAGCGGTCACTGGCGGAATGTTGCGCTGCCCACACTTCCACCTTCGCCCTCCAAGACGGAGTTCCGGCTTCGCCCTCAATCCACCATCCCCCCACACCAGTGCCCCCATTTCACTTGTGCCCCCACACCTCCAAGGCTGCTTTGGCTTGCTCTTCAGGCTGCGCGCCTTCAGCACGCGCTTCGTGTCGTGAGCACCCCAGGGGGTCTCGGGAAGCAGCGGACGATATAAAAGTTATCCATCTTTGTGAATCGATATATCCTCTACCATCGTCTTTGCATCCAAGTCGCTCACCATCACAAACGTCACCGAGCGACATTCGTAGCTATCTCATAGTTGACCTCATGGCTCCTCTAGTCTCTGCAAAAGGTGCGTAGATCGCTTAATCCCCTTTTGTCAAGGTTTGCATTCACCTCATACAAGAGTCCTCATTTCCAATGTTCGCGCATCTCGATCTCGTCACTCGCGACGTGCCCAACAAAGCTCTCGCTAAAGCCCATTCTGAATCCTTGGGCTGTCGAGCTATCATCAGCGATACTCTCTCCCTCCGTCACTAGCGCTTCTCAATCTCGTTCTGATACTCGACATGCTCGTACTCTCGCTTCTCCGCTTCCCGCGGGTCGCATGGCGGCCTTCACCCCCAATACTCATCGCTGTGCACCCCACTTCGCCCTATCCCCCTGCAGGCGCGCTCGTCCTCGGGCTGCTCTTCGCGTCCGCGCTCCTCACTCTCGCCCGACCCACATGTGAGTGCTCCGCTCAGCCAGATATGCCGTCGCCGCGCCCTGATCCCACTATTTTCCGCCGTTGTCCCGCTATTTTTCCCCCCAACCGGCTCTCCTCTCGCTCTATCGTACTCTGCTCTCGCTTTCTGTCACCCGTCGTACTGATCGATGCGTGTTTCCCCGCCTCGTCGCACGCTGTCGCGCGTTGTCGCAGGCGTGCTCTACTCGAACTGGGACATGACGGACAAGCAGCAGACGCAGGCGAAGAAGAGCGGCAAGTCCACCAAGTCACTACCCACTGGCAGACTCACCATCAAGGAGTCCAAGTACGCTATTTCGCCACGCCACTTCTCCACGCCATTTCGCTGCACTTTTTCGCTGTATCGTTTGGCTGCGCCATTCCGCTGCGCCGTTCCGCTGCGCCACTCTCGACGCTTTTCCTCCCCCCTCCCCCACGATTATCTTTCTCACGCCTCTGTCCGCGCGATTCCGCAGGGGCAAAAAGGACGAGTCGTTCGACCTCCAGGTGACTGCGGAGGTGAGCGAGTTCCCGGAATCCCCGGTGGGAATCGTGATAGGCAAGGGCAAGTTCGGCAGCAACACGGGCGTGTCGTGGTACATCAACAAGCCGTGGAGCGGCAGCGGCGGATCGTACAAGCTCGACTTCAAGCTGACGGGCATTGAGAAGATCAAGCCACGTGGCGGCAGCGGCACGATTCTGGAGGTGCTGCAGGCTGTGGATAAGGGTGTGGTGTCGGACTACTACACCGCTGTCCTCACAAAGTCGACCAGGAAATCCGGCGGCCTCGTTGGTGGCGGATTCGTCAAGGGCTTCCCAAATATTTTGCCCATGTTCAGCTGCTAAAGCAAAGCGGCCTGCCCCCCTTGGCTGCCTTCCAGTATGGCCCTGTAGGCCCTGATTCTGCCAAGTAATAAATATCTGGACTGAGGGCTCTAGTATAGAGTCCCCAAATCGTTGTCTTAGCGGCTGTGTTTTGGCATTACATTTGTTTTGTATTTGTAAGAGTTTTCTTTGTATAATCCAAAATAACTTGAATGTACAAGACGGTGTGGCCTCAGGAGTACGTGAATTTCTTAGCACAACTACGGTACTATACTGAAAATGACAATGTTGCTTGTTAGCATGGAAAACCTTGCCTTAGCTTGTTAAGAATTTGGAGATTTCACGCATTCGTTCGAGGCCTTGCCACCCTTCCACTCACATGTTTTGCCCTGATTCGCGACCTCACCTCCCCTCCCCTCGCGGCCTCGAATCTCCTTCAATCACCGGAACATGCTTTCTTCTATTATTTCCCTTCCCATCCCTCCTCCCTTCCCATCTCCTTTCCCTTCTTTCCCAACTCACCTCCCTTCCTTCCCATCTCCCGTAGCTTCCTTCCCATGCCTCGCTTCCTGCCCTACCCTTCCTGCCCTACCCTTCCTGCCCTACCCTTCCTGCCCTTCTGTTCCTGCCCTCCTCTTTTCTAACCCTCGCTATCCCTGCCCTGCCCTGTCCTGTCCTTCCCTGCCCTGCCCTGTCCTGTCCTTCCATGCCCTGCCCTGCCCTGCCCTGCCCTCTCCTGACCTGCCCTGCCCTGCCCTGCCCTGCCCTGCCCTGCCCTGCCCTGCCCTGCCCTGCCCTGCCCTGCCCTGCCCTGCCCTGCCCTGCCCTGCCCTGCCCTGCCCTGCCCTGCCCTGCCCTGCCCTGCCCTGCCCTGCCCTGCCCTGCCCTGCCCTGCCCTGCCCTGCCCTGCCCTGCCCTGTCCTGCCCTGCACGACCACTCCTTATTCGACCATTCATTTCATTCCCTTCCATCCCCTACCCTTGTCATCACCTTCCAACCCAGCGCAGTAAACTGTCTTTGGGACCTTCCTTATCCCCCCCCAATGCTGTAGAGTGTTGGAGGGATGGGAAGGGAAGGTAACAAGTGGTGTCTGAATGAGAACTACAGCGGAATGTGTTGCATTGACAGAATTGGGGTACATAACCTAACCCTAACTAGTTGTACCCCATATAGCCCAACCCACTACAGGCTATAATATTTGACACACCCCCATAGCCTAAGTGGGGAAGGCCAATCAACAACAAGCAACCTACGGTCACAAGACCAGTCAAAAGCAAGAGAAAGAAAACAAAGCTCAGGGTGGATCACAACGTCACCACCTAATCTGAGCACAAGCAAAGGGCCACAAGGCCAGTCCAAAAGTGTGCAAACAAATATATATAAGGTACAAGCAAGCAACAGACAAAGAGCACCCTACAGCAGTCAACTAGACCCAGTCTCAACGAGGCCTAACTGCAGACAAAACCGGCGGTGGTCACAAGGCTGGAGGGCCTTGGTGAAGATGTCTGCAGTGTTGGCCTCGGAGGCCACAAACTCCAGACGAGCCTGCCCGCGTCTCTGCAACTCTCGAAGGAGGAAGTACCTGACGTCGATGTGCTTCACTCTGCTCTCCAGTCGAGGCTCACGACACAGGAGAATCATCGCCTTGTTGTCAGCAAACAAGGTCGGTGCAGAGCTCGGCCGCTCACCAAGGTCAGTGAGCAAGAAGGTCAACCAGCGTAGCTCCTGTGCAGCGAGGGCTCCAGCGTAGATCTCGGCCTCTGCGGTAGAAGTCGCAACAGAGGAGGACCGAGTAGACCTCCACGAAACAGCTCCAGAGCCCAGGCTGAAACAGTAACCCTGTGTAGACCTCTGTGACTCAACGTCGTCGGCGTAGGAGGAGTCGCAGTGACCGGTGAGTACAACTGGCTGTGTCCCTCCAAGTACAAGCCCCATGTCTGATGTCGCGCCGAGGTACTTCGCCACCCTCTTAGCCGCCGCCCAGTGAACAGGACGGTGTCTCGCGAGGTCCGGGCGAGTGCACGTCATCAGGTACATGAGGCAGCCCACCAACTCTGCGTAGGGACCACTGGGCTCGAACGGCTCGTCAGGAAAAGGCCCAGTGAGTCTGTGGTCTACAGCAAGAGGGGTGGGAGGAGGAGAGGAGTGCTGAAGCCCGAACCGCTGAAGGACCTGCTGCACCATGTGTGACTGAGTCAGAGTGATGGTGCGAGCGGCTCTGTCCCTGGAGATCTGCAGGCCAAGGTAGCGGCGCAGTTCCCCAAGGTCAGTGCAGGTGTGTCTCTTCTGCAGTTCGGACTTCACCTCCGCCAGTGCAACTGTGTAAGCTGTGGCAAAAACCAGGTCGTCAACGTAGACAAGAACAAAGAAAGGTGTGCGCCCACGACGAACAAACAGCGACGGGTCGGCGGAAGACGGCTCAAACCCAAGGTCGGACAGAGTAGAGCGGAGAGTGTCGTGCCACTCACGGGGTGCCTGGCGGAGACCGTAGACCGGTCGTCTGAGGCTCCACTGGGTCCCAGGCGGGAAAGTGCCAGTGAAGCCCGGAGGACGACGCAGCCAGATCTCCTCGTGTAGGCTGCCCTGCAAGAAGGCAGTGGAGAAGTCGAGAGAGTGTAGCTCGTAGTCTCTCTGCGCTGCTACGTGCAGTAACACCCGAAGAGTGGTCATCTTCGGGGTGGGCGCAAAGGTCTGAAAGAAGTCAACTCCCTCACGCTGACTGAAACCTCTAGCCACGTAGCGTGCCTTGAAGACTGGAGGAGATCCCGGCGGCCGCTTCACCTTGAAGATCCACATGCCGTCAACAATGTTCGCCCCTGGGGGGGGAACCTCGTCAACGTAAGTGCCTGTGGACCTGTAGGAGGCCATCTCTGCGTCCATGGCAGCTCTCCACTGAGAGGCCCAAGGCCCTGACACTGCCTCAGCGTAAGTGCGAGGAGTAGGTATGTCAGGAGCGTCGGGGTCTCCCTCAGGAGCGAGCAGCATGGCACAGAGATGAGGTGAAGCGGCTGCCAGGAACTCTAGCTCAAACTGTCTATCCTCTAGGACGGCACAGCCAAGGGCAAACTCACCCCCGGCGGACAGAGGACGGACAGGAGGAGCCGCCACAACGCGAGTGGCGTAGTCAAGGCGACGCGTAGCAGTAAAGTCTGTGACAGCGGCAGTGAGGACCGCGACGGAGGAAGGAGAGGCACGAGGGTCTGTAACAAGAGAGGCGAGAACACGAGAGAGAGTGGGGCGGTACGTGCGGTAGTAGTCAGTGACCGGAGTGGACAGGGAGGCAGTGAGGGACGACTCAGGAGGACGAGGAAGAACAGACGGAGGAGAACGAGGAGGACTAGGACGAAACAACACGGTACGAAGGTCACGGACAGGTGACGAGGGACGAGCACGAGGAGGACGAGAGGCCCAAGTGTGGGAGAGAGGAGTGGGAGACGGAGCGGGAGACGGAGGAGACTGAGAACGAGGGAACACAGCCGGAGCTGAGTCCGGAGGAGGAAACGTCGGACCGAACACAGGAGGAGAGGAGGAGGGGAGACCAAGGGCCCGAAGGCCAGTAACAGAGGCTGGAGGCTGCTCCGGCTGCTTCGGCGCTGCTGCTGCTGCTGCTGCTGCTGCTGCTGCGGCGGCTGCTGCTGCTGCTGCTGCTGCTGCTGCTGCTGCTGCCGCTGCTGCTGCTGCTGCTCCCGCTGCAACTCCAGCCTCTCACGCTCCACCCGCTGCTGAACCTCCAACCTCTCACGCTCCAAACGCTGCTGCTCCTCACGCTCAAGACGAAGACGGGTCTGGTGTCGAGTCAGGTAGGGGTGAGGAGGAGGAGTGGTGTCAGGAGACGAAGAAGAAGAACCGGCTCCACCCTCAACAGCACCCGGCTGAGAACCCCCAGAGCGTGTACCCCCTGCGGCAGCACGACTAGTACCTGTAGGAGGTGGACCCGCACCCCCAGTCGGGGTGCCTCCAGTGGCACCAGCACCAGCCTCAGACTCTCCAGCTCCAGAAACACCACCAGCTCCAGCACCACCAGAACGGGCAGCCGCGGCGGGTGCACGCTCAGCGCCAACGCCAACACCCCCAGAACGGGCGGCTCCTGTAGGTGCACGAACAGCTCCAACGCCAGCACCCCCAGAGCGAGCACCGCCAGAGCCCTCACCCCGAGCACCAACACCCTCAGAGTCCGCAGTGGCCGGTAAAGGAAGCGCTGACGGCTGCTGCGGAGGCTGTGAGGACGACTGTGGGGAAGGAGGAGAGACCTGGGGGGGTACCGAGGGGGGGGGAGTAGCGTGGGACACACCAGACGGAGCAGGACCAGGGGGGGGTACCGGAGGAGCAGGGGCGGGAGGAGGAGGAGCTGGAGCCAGGAAGAGGGGAGGGGGGGGAACCGGGAGACCTCGACAGGGGTACCGGACGTAGTAGGGGACAGACTCGTCGAAACGGACGTCACGAGAGTCAAAGAACCGGTGGGAGGGAGGGTGGTAAAAGGT